CAAACTGATATGGCAGTAATTTGTCTAAAGTGAGTACCAATACATCCTGATGGTTCGGTTTGGAAACATAGACATCGACATTCCCAAATTCACTCATAAATTGTCTGCAAGATCCACAAGGCGTGGTAAAAAACGACTCCTGCTGAGCAATTACCGCAACAGCTCGAAATTTAATTTTGCCCTCACTCACTGCTTTACCATAAGCACATCTGGAATTGGAACATTTCTGATTATTTGCAGGAAGGTGCTTTTCAAGTAAAATACTGACTTTTCCGCACAAATTCCACTAGTAAATGCAGCATTTTCTACGTTGCAACCAGTGAAAATTGTTCCATCTGTGCTTAGAACTGCAGCACCCACTTTAAATTTGCTGTAAGGACAGTAAGCATTCTGCCTGGCTTCGGTGGCTTCCCGTATCAGCTCTTGAATATCAGTTTCTAAAACGAAAATTCCCTATCTACCTTTCTGACCGAATAGCATGCACTTATTTTTTTTCGAAATTTCACACCTAACCTCTAACTTTTGCAATATAATCTATGATATGAAATATCAAGCAACTAAAACTATATTTTGGGCACTTGCCTAGCAGCTTCAGCTTTTGAATATCTGTACTTTTCGCGGTCATTTCGCCTGGAACTTGGTTTGCGCTGAATTAAACTTGCTTCTCAATATTATGAGATCAATACCCAGTCCTTTATATGTTTGTACTTGCTACCTGTTTTTATTATTATCGCAGATCATAATCCTATGATAAAGTGAATGCAATAAGTGGAAATACGTGGTTAATATATATTTATGTAGTCCATAAAAATGAAAAATTTTGGTATTTTACAGTTTTATCGCAATAATCCATATGCTTGCCAGTAAGTGTTTTTGATATCAATACTTAGAAATTAGATACCCAACAGTTGACACAAGTAGAACCTTGAATTCATCCTAACTAGAACGAATTAAATATTTGTAATCCAAACTCAAGGAAAAGTTATTATTTAAATTTAAAAAGCAACATTGAAATGTGCTTGTGATCTTTTGAACAACCCTAACCGGGCGCTCTTATGTTTTCTCCCTCGCACTCATACCCATTAGCGGTAAAAATGCTGGTCGTCCACCAACTCCTCGTTCTAACAAATGAAAGCAATGTTATGATTATGTCAAAACATTGTCACTGTCATCTAAGATTTTATGTTATTTGCAGAATGGAAAATTTACTTCCTGCGCGAGTTTGATAACAATTAAATATTAAAACTTAAATGATTGTTCCACATATCACGAGCGCCCACATTGCGTAAATCTATCGCGTTGTTCAAGTTTTACAATGACAACTTTGCAGATATCGTAATTCGTGATCAGTGTCTTTGGACTTGCGAAAACAGCGGTGTAATCTTGTTAGTTGCAAGTAATAATCGTTCTAAAACATGGAACAACGCAGAGTTGTGTTGTTAGTGCTGTTCCTGGTCGGTTGTTTGCATAAGGCAGTTCCAGCCAATTCATTGAGATCGGAATGCCCGAGGATCTTCCCCAATGTTTTCAAGAGATATACACCTCGCGGTAATCTAAGTGCAGGTATGATCGTTAACTTTTAGGACTTATATTATTTATGACTTATAAATGGGGCCCATATTGGACGGCATACTAACGCACAGTTGCTTATTGCGTTATTTTATGGAATGTCAGGGGTTCTAAATTTTAATAAGCACCAGCTCCTACATCTAGTTCGTTTAGGAAAGTCTCCTACACGTGCAACTTAAATTATTTGCTAACGTCACCTGCAATTTGTTTAAAATCATCAAATGCAAGTCTGAGCACATGAGCACAAGGGTGCAGAGACAAGCAAACAGCAAAAAAATCCGTAGAAGCGATGATTGCTTCTACTAACTAAACTAAAACTTAAAAACTAAACAAACTAAAAAAGTTTGGTGTTTTTAAGACACTATAGAATTTACCAATGCCCAAAGAATATAAACGCGATGGTTTAATCAAAACATGCCTATGTATTATTTACCAACAAATCCACAGCAAGTTGCATTAAAATAGACCGTAATTATTACAAAAAACATAAATATATTTGGCTACATTTTTATAGTTTTCGTTTGAGTCAAAGCATAATCCAGTACGTATCCTTGTCGTGTTTTTACGGGACATCCTGTATAATCGGGCAAAGTATATTTGCAATAAAGCTTTTATTTTATTAAGGGTGTCACGTAAGGACATGATCAAAAGATCACTGAGACATTATTTGGCTCAAATGCTCAAATGAAGACCATATGACCTAACTTTTATATAAAAAATCACCGGGTGCTCTAAAACTAAGTTAAAGTTCTTCAAAAAATGTAATTTTTTCGGGATATGGGTACTTATAATGAATTTTAATGAATGCAGGTGAGTTTGTTCTTGTGTAAGACTCATGTTTTCAACAAGCAACCGCGGTCATCCGCTTTGGGCAAGTGAGGAATTTTTGAGTGTCTTGGTACAAAAACTACCACCTCTTCTCAAACTCAAACTTCTTACTTGATAGCTGGAATCAACTGATTTTTTTTGAGTTGGTGCACTTGATAATCCTTTTTCAACATTTTTTGTAACACAACAACAGCTTTTGTACAAAAAAATTGTTTCTATTTTCTTGCTATTTAACAATTTCAGACATTAACTGCAAACGTCGTAGTAAGCGAAAATGTTCTTTATAATCCATTAATTGTCAAGCGTTTTACAATTTTTAACTAACCAACATGGTCAAAGTCTTAGGATCGGATGCGTTTTGGAAGTGTTTTCGTCCGAATTTCGTTCAATACAAATCTCATAAAAAGAAGAAGCGACTTTTTAGCAAAGTATAGCTCTGACGTTGGAACAAATCCACAGCAAGTTTTATCAAAATCCATCTGAGCGCTTTTAAACCAATGTTTAGAATTGTGTCCAGAGAACCGAAATATTTTTTTGCTCAAAAACTATAAATGCTTCAAGATATTACAAAGAGCCCAAAAATATTGAAAAATTATTAATTTATCAACTCATTTAAAATCAGTTGATTCTAGCACCCAAATAAAAAGGTCTGGTAGTTTTTGTACTAAGACACTCAAGTGCCCAAAACGGATGAATTCGGTTGCTTTATCAAGACATGAGTTTTACCCCACATTGAAACAATTTGCAGTGAGTTTTATTAAAATCCATCGTTCCATTTATTTAAAAAATCAGTTTTTTTTGAGGAAATTTTTAGGTCCGCTTAGGTCAGGTAGGTAGGTCAGACGAACCATTTAGGTCAGATCGTCTTCCTTTGATCCAGAGAAAACGCAGTATCTATTTGTTCATGTGCTTACGGGACACCCTGTATATTCGTATAGAGAGTGTCTCGTACTACATATGTACAACTCAAATACAATTCCATTCGGTTTCTACTTGTAAGCAGTGAGCGTAAAATTTTTAATTTAATTATGAGCGGTATTCTATTAGCATCATATCTGACAAACATATAGGGAATTTGACGAGCCTCACTCACTCTTTCTGCCTATTTTAGTTCTATTATTATTGCATTTTATCGATTTTCAATAATAGGTAAAAAATAATTTAGTTTCCGAAAAATAGACAAATATCATTTCAATGAAGAAAGTTTATTTTTGCAAAGTATAATTTGGATGGATAATAACCATGCGACGTGGCATCGGTTATTCTTAAAGTAAAGTGCAACTTATATTACTTAATAGGATATTTGCGAACATTTTGAATTTCAGGCTTTTATGAGAAAATAAACGACATCGACACATTGATACCGTGTGTATTGTCTTGTTGCCACAAACCCACTTGCAATGTAGCATTTATGACTGGCGACACATGCTTTCATATCGCTTGCAAGAGTAACGAATTTTGTATACCAACACCAAATTCGCACTCTTCAAAAGCTGATGATGTTCTAATGGTGCTTGTAAATCCTACTGATGATGAAACATGGGAAGAAGTATTAGCAGCTGAAGGTACGCGTTTGATGTTGTATCCGATGCATGTATATATGAATTTTCTCCCAGAGTTTTCAGCCTCTGATTTGGATCGGGAATTGTTCAATGTGTTAATTCAAAGGCGCTACCAAAATGGAGTCAAAGCCCTGGCAAATGAACTGATATTTGAAGGCGACGCGTATGCTGTAAGCTGTGAATTAAGCGCTGAAAATGCTTGCCAATTACCCAATGAAATTTGCGTCAAAAAGGAAGAACATAATGATGTGTCGAAAGACAGTACGTTTTTTTTGCTGGTATCTAAATTAGAATTACCGCTTTAAACGTGTATTTTTCAGTTGGTGTTTGTACATGCAAGGACGGCTTTTCTCGGGAAATTGATGGAGTGTGTTCTCCTGTATCGAATAATTACGCCTACATGGCAGACCATAAGGAGCAGGAATTACCTAAAGAATCACCAGCCGTCACCAAGCAGCACTTAACTGTTCTAGCCGAATCAAAACAGGTTATTATTTGAGCCTTGGCTCAAATTCCCATTTAAAAGATTTTGGTTGACATCGAAAAAAGAGATATTGCGTTAATACAACAATGTATTATTAGGTAAAGCTTCCTGAAAACGAGGTAACTTTGGTAGCAAAAACGGTACCGGAAGAAGATCGTGAAAACAAATACCAATATGAGTGGACCTCACTGCTTCAACCTGAAGGCAGCACGGCTGTTAAACATCAAAATGATAATGAATTGCACTTGGAAAAGTTGTCAGAGGGTACTTATGCCTTCAGGGTAATTATACTTTTCATTCGCATAAATTCATTTCAAGAGGAGATCTTCTTTTAAAGAGTTTATTTAAAAATATTGGGTCATTTTCTACCAAATTTCACTTTCGTATCATTGCTCTTAATGACTAGGTAAGTGCTTCTACGGCTTCAGCATATGGCGATACGTTTGTAAACGTGTCAGTACTACCAGAGGCTCGAATTAACACGCCTCCTAATATTATCATAACACCAGCCAATCAAACTATCAAACAGCCAAATACTGCAGCAGTATTGGACGCGTCGTCTTCAACGGACGATGATGGAATTATTTCTTGGCATTGGGAGTTACAACAAGGCCCTTTGGGTATGTGCCCATTTTATTCAATTTTAATCTAAATTGCGTATGGACAGTGCCATTTAAATTAACAGTTTTCAATATACAAAGAACACCATATAGAAAACATGTTTCTTGCTTAAAAATTTGAATATTTAATAGGTTATCAGCCTGAATTGAAAGATAGTTCCACACTGCAATTAAATGATTTAACGAAACCTGGAAATTATTCATTTAAATTGACGGTGACTGATACAGATAAAGCCACTAGCTCCAGCATAGCTAATATTACTGTTCTGGCTGTAACTGATTATCCTCCAGAAGCCAATGCAGGTCAGTTGATGGTCAAATAAAAGTTTCCACTTTCAGTATGAGGATGGCAATTTGATTATTGTGTTTTATTTGCAAATTAGGGGAACACAAAGTTATTTATTTACCGCACAACAACATAACACTAAATGGTAGTCTTAGCACTGACGACCACGCTATAACCACTTGGGAATGGACAAAATCGGCTGACGATGCCCAAAAAACTGTCGATATGCAGAATACCAGGACACCATACTTACAATTGTCTAATTTGCAAGAAGGTAAGTAAGTGATCAATGAAAAAAATTGTCGATTTAATTGAAGAACATACTTTTATAAGAGCGGAAAAGCTACTGAAAAGTAGTGGTGGGACTTATCTAATTGTTTCTATATCGCGATCGAGATATACTAATTTTTTAAAGTTAATTTAGAGCATTTAATAATCGAAATATGTTTTTTATATATTAAGTACTTACTTTATCATTTAATGTATTAATAATTTCCAATTTAATAATAATTTTAGGAGTTTATACTTTCACTCTTAAAGTAATGGATAGTGCAAACCAATCTAGTACAGCTCAAGTGCATGTTTTTGTTAAACCACCTACAAATAAACCACCGTTTGCAGACGCCGGGGCAAATACTACCATCAGGTTTGTAAATATAACAGTTACCAGTTTATGAGACGAAATTTAAAGAACTGTTAATACAGTGTGGATCAAACATGTCTGTAAAAAGGGGTCGGACTCCCAAAAGATGGGGTACCAAAATGAGTAAAAAACAACGTACGGAGACGAAGAATGAAAATTGATAATTTATGATCCTTTAACCGTCGTTTTTTCAAAATTTGCAGACATATTCGACACACCTTGTCTCAATATTTTCTTTAGATTCAACATCATCACCTTCAATTGGTTCTACCTACGCTGTAATTTTTCTATTAGACTGGATTGAAAATTTTAAATCCAATGATTTTTACGATGGTTTTTCTGTACCCTTGAATACAATTTAATGCCAAGCGCTTTCGTGATTGTCGAAAGCGCTCATCATCAAAGCTTCTACACATCAAAAAGGCAAAAATTCTGAATCTGAATTAATTTAAGGAAACAAAATTTCAAAAAGAAATTTCAGCTTCGATAAGTCTATGGCTTTCCATTCAATTTCAAACAAATTTCGGATATGTGTCTAGTATTACCACAATATCGATCTTATAATATTCTTATTATTTAATCCACCGAAAAAAGATCTAATATGTAGTTTTGCATCTAAACTTTATAGCTTGCCACAAACATGGGCTGTAGTAGACGGTTCAAATAGTACAGACGATAATCACATTACATTGTTCAAATGGGAGCAAATCGAAGGTCCGTCTACCGTGATTTTTGAAAATGCCAGCCTCAGTAAGACTAACGTAACTGGATTAACCAAAGGAGTTTACACTCTAAAATTGAGTGTTACTGATGATAATAACAACGTTGCAAATGACTTGACTTATATTATTGTGAATCAAAGTACGTAGATTGCGTTGTTTTTTAATGAGCATTGATAAAAGATTGTTGCAGACAAAAATCAAAAACCTACTGCCAATGCAGGTCCCGATCTCGTATTGGAACTGCCTGTAAATGGAATAGTGTTAAATGGCTCAAATTCGAAAGATGACTGGGAAATTGTTAAGTGGCAATGGACAAGAGACGAAAAGTCTTTAGCAATTGGAAATATTGTCGAACATAGCGATGAATCCCCAGTTCTCATTTTAACTGATGTCTCAGTTGGAACATACATTTTCAATCTGACTGTATATGATAAACAAGGATTGTCTGACACTGCCACAGTTAGTGTTGTGGTGAAAAACGATCCCAAGTTGTTCTATTTGGTAGATTTATATATTGATGTGGATGCTAAACTGTTGACCGAAGCTCAATACAATACCTTAAAAGCGAAATTAGCTTTATTATTGATTGAAGGTTCAAAACTCCAAGTAAGTTGAAACAAAATGGTATTCTAACTCCCGATAATGAACAACGTGGGAATTTAGGTCAGGAAAGTCAAGCCTGAAGCAGGAACGGGCAACGTAATGCTTACGTTCTACCTAGAAGCGGGAGATGGTTCGCCGATTGCTGCTAATACAGTAGTTCAACACTTAAGTACGAAGTTTCGAGTGGATGCAAGTCTTTTAGGATTTTCTGTTTCAACATTACAAACCTCTATTTGCCAAAATAACTGTTCGGGTCATGGAGTATGCAACGAAGTTACTCGTAAATGTGAATGCGAAGTTTTTTGGATGCACGTATGTTATGTTTCTTTTATAAGTTTTATTTTGGGCTATGGGATGAACGCAAAATATTGCACTTACAAATAAACAAACAACGTATTATTTTTATAACTGATAAATTAAATAATTGTTTCAATTGCTTTTTTGGGAAAAAACTAAATATTTCCGGGTTTTATTTAAGTAATGGGAACAAAATTGACTTCATGCGAATGAAATTTTCCTTTAATTCATTCAATAGATGAAATATTCCAATGTGATCGAAGATGTATAATACAAGCTGCTAATTACAGTCTTAATATCATCCATGCATTTTAGGACTTGACCAAAATATTCCTGGAGATGGGGGAAGACTCAGACTGCAGTTGGAGCGTTCTCTATGTTGTTCTCGGTCTGTTCTGTATAATGCTCACGTTCAGTGCATGCATCTGGTTCGGGGTCTACTTCATCTGTTTTAGATGGTGCCCCAGTAGATATGACACATCACAACCGACCAATTACAAATTGATCGAAGATAGAGAGGATTTACCGCCATGTAAGAAGTGAGATCTTTAGTTTAATTAACATGTTTTGCTCAATAATTGATACTTTATAGTTTCTGGGAGGAAAGGAAATATATCCGATAGCGATACGGACTCCGACGTAGTTTTTGAATCTCGTACAAAGCCGCCCCGATTTTCAGACACCAGAAACGGTCATAAAGCATCGCGAAACGGATTTAGCAAACCAGGCAGAAGGATTAAAACGTAAGAAAATGTAATACATTTGCACAACTTATTGTGATACCAAACTAAGAAATAAAAAAATTATTTATATATTTAATCAATTGTGCAATTTGAAACACTATTATTGGTCCGTGTATGCTTTCGGTGATTTAATATTTAATACAAACATTCCGGCTACAAAAAATATATAGTGGAAAATAAAATGAATGATGTTGATGTGCCACCATGAATATTTTAGGAAAGCTTCTTATATGTACATATAATGTGCTTAGCTTTGTTTACCAATTGTTCTAGTCAAGGCGTGTGCACTGTTAGCAGATATGACGTATTTTAAGATAGAATGTTTGCAGTTAATTGAAATCATGTATGTCATTATTACACACTTTTTTGTGACTCACTAATAGACACTCAAACACGTGTGCTTCAATTTTTTTAAATGGTTCAACAGATTATAGTAAGCGTCCTACACTTTCAAGGGGAAACCCAAATCATTTAATGTGGTAAAACAGATTTTTTTGGTTAATTTTGAAATCTCGAATGAATCGTTGTTTGCAATCTGAACCAGTTAAATGAAAAATTAAACATTTCAGTGTCTTGGGATTTTTTATGTAAAAAACTGCATTGGTTGTATCTGCGCTTGACAGCAACATTTTAACGACCAAGTTTGGACATTTTTGCTATTGATTTGTGATTCTACCATTAACGATTCAGTATTTATCCTCTGTTCCTTTTGCTGTACTTTTTATCGTCTATATTTTATATGTATATTGCGCATTTAGAATTTTTGGATGGATACTTGTACTTAAGTTGTTAATTATGTAGTTTTTGTCTAATAAATAAAGAACTCCCATTGTGGATGTTGGTTTTATTTTTTTCTTGATTTCTAGTCGCATTTAAATCGACGATCGAATTTAAAGCAAATAGTTGCTGATAAATTTTCGTTTGAAATAAATAAACTGGTTAACAAAATCAACGATTCACGGACAAATTTGGACTAATTTTGGATCTGGATAAATTGTTTGGATGGTACTGTTTGTTTGAAGCGTTATTTAGTGCTTCAGATTAAGTTTACAGAGTGCCAAATAAAACAATGCAAAATTAGTGAAAGTTCCACAAGCTCTCAGTTAAACAAAAAAATCAACTTTTTGGTATTGCAGTGATTTTTTTCTTATGAATTGATAAGCAAAATCTAAGGGTCATGTTGAAGCTAAAAAATCGCGGTCGACTTCAGAAAAAAATCAATATACCGGGTTGCATGAATGAACGAAATATTTGAAAGTAAATTTCACTTTAGTTGAAAATATGCCAGTCACAGATTCCGGGGGCAATTCTGATTGCAACTCTATATATCGAAGTTTCGTCTTAAATTGTCTATCAAGTTTTACTTTCAACATGAGGTCAAGATCGTGAAAATCGATCCAAGAGCAGAAAATATATTGCTGCAAGACCAAAAATTATTTTTTTAAGATTGACCTATAAATGGAAGAGATGCCAGAAAAAATAACAACCGTTTGGAGTTATTTTCTTTATCTTTATACTTTTGGTGTTGAGATCCAAAAACCTCATTTTTGCCCAACTAGGAGCATGCCGAATTTTGCAATTTTTTTTTATTTTTTGTTTATCGCCCTGCAGAAAATTTATCTGGAATGGTTAATTTTTAATGAAACGCTAACAAAAAACAAATGGGACTAGATAACCCTTCAAACAGAAACCAAATTGCTCTAAGCAGTCAGAATTTCAAAGTCTTTCAAGTTCAAAGTTCAGTCTTACAAAGTTATGGAAAATTTGGCTCTGTGAGGTTCATTTTGTTGCCCAGTTTAATTAAAGGATTGCTTGGGTTTATCCGCATTTTGGTATAATATAAATAAATGGTAAACGAAACACGTTTTATGCACCACACAGTTTCTATTTTTGCTAGTGATAGTAAATGATACTTAGTAGTACTGATACTTAAATAAATTTAAACTTAAATTAAAGTTAAGAACACAAAGTTTATCACTTTAAAACCAATAAAAACAACCTACATTCACACTTGAATTCATCACCAAGTAAGGAATTTATCAGACCAGAGGAACTTCTTTCGACTGTTTACCATTCGCAGCTAGAATAGAATTCTGACAAACCTCACCGAAAAAAGTTTGTGGTATGTTATTGCCGAAGTAAATTTTGGTGTTTTTCGCCAAAGATGCATATTTTGTCAATTCGAGATATTCTTTCGTGTAAAGTATTTTATTTACTTCAGCTTGCCGCTCCATTTTATAGAATTCTGCATCTGCCAAAGCCTTTTCCTTAGCCAAGTGTATTTCATCTTCAATTTGGGATATTCGTTGCAACGATTCCTTTTCCATTATCTTTTGATCGTATTGAATTTTGGCAACTAGGGCGCCTTTTTCGGCTTCGATAATGGCTCGCTTTCGATCGGTTTCAGCATCTTTCTCAACAACCTGCCAACAAATGCATTGCGCTTTGCTGGCTAAACTTCGCTAATACATACCCTTTGATGTTCAATTGATATTAGTAGTTTGGTTTTCTCTCCTTCCATCACTTCGTAATTTTTTCTTATAGCTTCTGGAATTTTAGGCTTTGTTACTCTAACAGCTTGAATTGTTAAACCTGGTGCCATTTCTAACAGGTCTCTTTGTAAAGCCTAGAATTTATAGAGCCGATAAAGTGTGATTAAGCTTTCCTTAAGTAAGAAGTTCATTCACCTGCTTAAGGTTCTCATCAATCTGATCGAATAGATCAATGTACACCTCATGTAAAGTATGTATGCTGCAAAATTGATTTAGTTCATGATGGATTTTATTAAAAATCAATGTCCTATCATAATCAGCAGTGTAATTTCTTACTATATCCATTACTAAAAATAAACGAAGTTTGGTGTATAATACGTTTTACTGACTACTAAAATGTGTGGGGTATAAATGTTTTTTTACTTATTTTTAATAATTTTAGTTTTTTATTTTCGGTAGTACAGCATAAAAAATTACATTAATATAGATGACAAATATCTAATATTGTATGCACTAATAAACTGCTCAACAAAACGCACGTTCCACAGCCAAATTTGCCGTAATTTTGGAAGTGGAAAAATTCTGATTGCTTCAGCGACTTGGTTTCTGTTTGAAGCTTTATCAAGGCGCATTTATGTTCTGTTCTGTTTTGGTAAAAATGAAACCCCTCAGATACACGTTCAACAGGGCGGCAAATAAAAAAATGCAAAATTCCAAAAAGTTCAGCATACTCCAAGCTGGACAAAAATGAGTTTTTTTGGATCGCAACAGCAAAGGCTTGAAAATAAACAAAATAGCTTCAAACGAGTTTTCATTTTATTTCTACCATCTGTTTTATTTACAGGGTGGTCTCAAAGCATCAACTTTTTGGTTTTGCAGCGATAACTTTTCTGCTCTTAGTCCGATTTTCACGATCTTTAGCTTATGTTGAAGCTAAATCTTCATGGACAATTTAGGACGAAAGTTCCATATACGGGGTCGCATAAAAAATTAATGAAATGAGAATTGACCGCCGAATGTTTTCAACAAAGTGGAGTTTACTTTAAAATGCAAGCCGTATATTGATTTTTTCTGAAATCGACTGCGATATTCTAACCTTAGCATGAGACTTGGATTTTGCTAATCGGTTTAAAACAAAAAAAATCATTACTGCAATACCAAAAAGTTGATTTTTTAAATTCCTCTCTGTAAATAAGCAAGACAAGCGAAAAATTGAAAAAGTTTTTCGAGATACCAGGTGTATTTTAATAAATTTTAATGCCTGTGGTGGAAATAAAACAAAACAAAACGTTTTTTGGTCAAACTGAGACCATGTGGAACTTTCACCAATTTTGCATTGTTTCAGTTGCCACCCTGTACAAAATTTATCTGACGCACTCATTTTTGCAAAATAACACACTAACCCAAAGACTTGCACTAAATAACGCTTCAAACAAAAAATGTATCGCTCGCAACAATCAGGATTTATCCAGTTCCAAAGTTGATTCAAATTTGCCAGTGTAACTTTGATTTTGTTGAGTACTTTACTTTAGGTTGATTAATATTTAGTTGTTTATTAATGACTTCATCTCTATTTTGCCAATCAGTTTTTACAAAAATAGCAGACATAGACTGCGTCGCTCAAGTATACAACCTTCAACTTTAATTTGAATTATATGCATTCATTTGGACTTGGAATGATTAATTTACACTATAAAGGAGACACAGAATGTTGTTTTGTTACCATCAAAAATCGGGAGAGCAGGTTGTAATTTTATGCCACAAAAGCACGTACTATTAAACACTTTGTTCTGAACATTACTATACTTACCGCTATTAACATTCAAATAATTTACTACTTCGATTCTATCAAAGTAGATCATTACACCACCACTTGTTCCACATGGCACATTAGTTACTTCATCAGTTTGAAGTGTTACCTTAAATATATGTATAATAAACAAGTTGTATTTGGAAAATAATAGCTTGTGAGCTATAAGCTCATATACTAGATGATATGGAATAATTGGAAGACTCGCTAAATCATGATCTCATTTTAAAATAATTAAACTGTTTAACGTTTTTAAATTAATTTTCAACTGCAAGACACTCTGTTGTTATTAACAAATTAAGAAATTACAACTCGATTACCAGCTCATGATAAATTAAAATTTTCCATTAATTTGCAATCTCTTAATTTCTTTGGGCAACAGACGACGAGAAATCAAAATAAATGAACTAATCTTACATAAATTATTTTCAGAATGCGTTGTTCAAAATCATAATATCTAAAAAATAAGATCAAAGAATTAAAAGACCGGGTGGTATTTTGAAAACGAACAAATTTAGGCACCCTGACCCTTATAGTATTTTTTATGGTTCCCGCATTAATGACTGAGCAATTAATAATTAAAAAGTTTTCAAAAATATGTATTTTTTGTTAGATGATAGGGTGCCTAAATAAAAATTGCGAAACGTCGGCAATTGATTTAACTTCAATTCTATAAACAAACAACTCCATTGAGCAGGATCGCATTAGCAGCATTATTTCTCGTAAAGTCTGATCTGTTTCAAAATTAGAGAAAATGCTTAAAATCGATTTAGTAAAAACATTATTCAGATGTAAGTAAGAACTTTCTGTTGTTATTCGTGCACTATTTTTTCGGCAATACTACGCATTTCTACAAATTGCTTTTGTGGCTTTCCTTGCCTCGATTATTAAATTAATGAGTTTTATGGTGCCAAATCGTTTGTTTTATTAGATTATTTTCTAAATTTGAACAAATCTTCTCAACACTTACTGCAGCGAATTATTTAAGAGTATTTTTCTTTAATTCAAGACAAATTTAGACATTTGAAACGGCGTTGTACAAATTAGGGTTGCCTAAATATTGATGAAAAATAAATGTTGAATTTACTAGAATGTGTACTAGAAACTAAATTTACATATTAAATTAATACTCAAGTCTTTTGCACTTTAGTTGACGTAAAATAAATGCAGCGCCAATTTGGGAACTATTTTATCAATATTATCACATTGATAAAGCAAGAATATTCAATGTAAAAGAGGAATTATTTGAAAATAGGAAGGTTGTATTCGCCCTTTTTTCAGGCGCTTTAATTTAACTAATTTATATTATTACTGTGAATATTACCTGTACACTTTTGTAGCCAGTTAATAAAGGAATCATCATATGATACCCAGGATAGCTCATTCCAGGCAACAGGGCTCCTCCCTTCATTTATGGAAATTTTAATCAATCAATCAAATAGTTTAAATCAGAAAATAATAATTACCCTAAAATAAATTCCCACGTGTCCTTCCTCAATTCTATGTAGAGAATAATTGGCAATTATAAAAAGGGTGGACAAAATACCCCCAATAAGAGCGTGCTCGACCACAGGATTGTGATTAAACAGAGGCATAATGTGAAAACTCAGAACAGGAGAATTGTAGTTGTTTGGCAAAAATCTACACTCGATAGTATGTGAATTATTAACCACTTTTTCAGGACTTATCTATGGAAACACAGCTACACACAAATCAGTTAATGATTATAAAATTATAATAGTTTTACTGTGGTATGGATCCACTTGTAAACAAATGTTATTGAATTCTAGGTTAAGTTGACTGTGAAGACGTCAAGAGGCTGAAAGGACGCTGAAAGGTGACAGGTAAGTTTTATGTTTAAAAAATTACACTTATGCAGGTCAAAATTGGTTACAAAAATCAAACTTGTAGAAAATAAATAAAATAAAATATTAGGTACTTACATATACAGGGTGGCTCAAATTGGCACTTACAGTGCAGCCTTTTAAACTCACAGTTATAGACGACACCACTACAGGGTGCCAAAGACTTTCTTTTTAGTTTTTTCATTCTATTTGAGATGCACAACTGGGTAAACTTTAGCACTCACTATCACTATTTTTAGTTCATAGTTTATGAGGGCTAATTCGACCCAGAATTTTTTTGTTTTGCAGACGATTTGGCGCCCCTTTGTGAGTAGCGCCCGGGGCACGATGCCCCCCCTTGCCACGCCCCTGGTTTGTCGCACGAAACCAGTGGAGGCTACTGTTATCAAAAATCAGCTATATTAATTCCGCACATATGCAAAAAAACACAATGGAAACTCTGCAAAAGCCGCTACAAAATCCGCAAAGCTGCACATGCAAGCGGCAATATCGGTCGGACAATAAAAACTACAACCCTGGTTGCCATTTACTACTATTTACAAAATAAATTGCCATCCGATCCAAGCTAGCGCTAAATTCCATAAAAACCCAATTTTTCTTCCACTGTTTAGGCTCAAATTTGGAAGAACCACCGCAAGTCTGATTACTAACTTGATCTGGACCATTTACACCCTAAGGGGCGCTGAACGCCAAAATAACTTGAATAATCGGACGAATCGTGTCCGCTAAAATTTCCCAGTAGAATCGTTTGGTAGCAATAATTTGTTTAGAGCGTTGATTTGGGAAAATACCGCGACACCTAATTTGTATGCCAGGATCACTTGCAGCCTCTTAGGGCGCTATCCGCTTGACCATGAGAAAGCAATAGATAAAAATCACCTACTTTTAGGCACTTTGGTCTGGATTCTGTTTTCTTTTTAGCATTTACGGTTACAAAAGTTTAATTTACAACAGAACAACATGAATAATTGACATATTTTTAATTCGAAGACAATCAGTATTTAAATTTCCAAGATTGAAATTAAAATAGCTTGCAGACAAAAAACCAGACAAATTAATGTTGAAAAGCGACATAAAAATATTTGAAATTTATAAAATTAAATCATCCCTATTGATAATACAGGAAACGTGCAATTAAATGAAGGAAATTATCAATAAATGAGAAAGTTATCTTACACGAGAATAAAAAGTGTAGATCAGTGCATAACTACATTAGTACTACTGAGGAAAACCTGACTAGTTAATGTTGAGAACCTGAGTGAAACGGATTTATAATTTGCAAATCGGAACCATCATATTGAGTATACAATAACCGTTTAAAATAGGTGTATTTTACAGAAGATACACAGCAATAAATTAGAAAAATTACCCGACGATCCAATCAAAAGAGTTCATATAAAACAGTCTACTGTAGGAACCATCATTTGTTAATGTTTATTATCTGACTTAAAGTTAATTTCACAAAAATATTTAGATTATAACTTAATCCAAAATCCAGAAACTTTCTCGTCGTTTCTATTCGAATAAAAATTACATGCAACAATACGGGTACATGGCAACCAGGGGCAAATAAGTAATGCCAAACTTACCGAAAATTATTGTATGGTACTACCTGGAAAGAGAGAAAAACGTGCTTTATTATAACATAACAGACATTTCAAATTCAAATTACTTAAAATCAGAAAAGTAAAGACAAAGAAATGAAAAAAGCCATAAAACTTCAGTTGCCTCTAGCGTTCAAGCTAAAGTTTTTATGATTTAGATATATTCTTACCATTTTTCCGTAAGTTTGCAGTAAGATGCACTTGCATCCTCCATTTTCTACCCACTAATTCTCAAAGAGCTCACACTACACTTAAACACTTAGTACATTACACTTAAACATGCAGAAAAAAAATCGACACAAAAGACTGACTGAGGACTTTTGCTCGTTGTTTGTATCAAACTGAATATCTTCGAAAAAAACCCATGCGATATTGAAGTTTTTGTCACGTTCCGAACGCATCGAACTACAGAACTAACATGGTGATGTAATCATTTGCTTGATTGATTGCTGTATACTTTACAGGTCGATTTCAGCTGCTTTATTGTTGAATATTTTGTAGAAAGTACCATTTCATATTTTCAAATGCAAGTTTCAGGTTCAAACTTGTTTGGATGATCGCCGTAAACAAAACAGCTTTTTCTGCCAAAGATAAACAAATCCTATCATGGGGCGCATTTAACCTTTTTAAATTAAATGTCTCTCGGATTGATGTTTTGTTCGATTTTTATGGATTTTTGAGCGTTTTTACCTTGATATATTGGCATGGAAGATCCCCATTCAAGCGTGTTTCAGGCCCTCTCTTGATTAGTGCATGCTTATTCTCTTCTTAGTCTCTATTAAGAGTTTTTTTGCTCAATTTTTATGATTTCTTAAGGCCAGTGGTGACGAAATCACTTGCGAAATGTTGACCTTTTGAGCGTGTACGCTCTTGGTGCGCTTCTTCTCGCAATAAGAATAAGACGCTTCATACAATGTGCAAAAGCGTTCTCAAGGGGAGATCCACATTCAAAACATGCCATGATTTGTAAATTATTTTTTGTTCGCGCTATTAAGAGCGAGCTCTCGGATGAGCTATTTTGCTATTTTTTTACAAAACATTGTACATCTAGAACTTGATATATTTTGTGGCTCTCTAAAAAGAAGGTCCATATTCATGAGGCGATTTAAATAATGTGATGGTGAATGGTGTTTTAGTGGAAGCTTGTGTTTTTTATTCGAAACAGTTACTTTAGTTTCAGTAGAAATCGCTGTACTCGCGATGGTATTCATTGCCATCGAAAAAAAAGATAAAACTTAAAAATAAGTTCACTAAAGCCAACTCTGCAGGAATCCCTTGGAAGTAGAGACGTTAGAGTTTTTTTCTAAAAAAATAAATTCCAATATAAAACCATCTGAAAAAATATTATTTCAACAACAAGCAAACAATTATTTCTTCAATAAGAAACACTGTCTATTTATATTTCAAATTCCTAAATATTAGAAAGCACGCAGTATTCATAGAACCCAAACGAACGCTATTAAATATTGCTTACCTTAGTGGTCTTCAGATGATAATGATTAATTCAAAGACACTTTTTTCTTCAGAGAAATCATAGTACCATGAGTGATAATCACGTAAACAGAGGTGGTAAAGTACGATAGTCACCAATTTTGTCACGTCATATCAACGTAATTATCACAGCATTTTTTTATTTGGTCCACAAACAACTTAGACGGGCGTCACAAAACATACAAATTATCACTTTTTGTGTGTTAGTTTGTCTCAAATATGTTTAGCAAAACAGCATCATCAGCAAAGCGCATATTTATTACATACCTATAGATAGTAGAAATCCACAAAGCTCGGAAATTAAACACTAAATTTAAAACACTCAGTGAAAAATTACGAGAAATGATTGGCAATGATTTGGTCAAATTGAATAAACTAATGCGAAGCCTTCAGGAAGTATGCACCCAACACCTAAAAACTAAAATTGGAAGGATAAAAGTAAATATTCTGGAATTAATATAGAGGAGACTTAAGACTTAAGACCTACATAGGTACTTAAACATTCATCGGAATGTTAAAAAAGCAAACAAATTGATAAAGTGGGAAACGAGGAAATCGAGGAAAGTAAATATGCCAAAAAATCAAGCAATTCAGAATTAAAAGGTTACCATAAGATGCATAAAATATTCAGAAAGTGCATATTCACAAACAGGTGGATATTTCAAGAACAGCAACAAATGACCAAGTTACTATTTAGGAAAGATGCATAAAAATTATTCGAGGTTACACTACAAAAATGTGTTAGAGCTTTAATTATACAAAGTAAAAGATATAAATAGAAGTGTTGATTCTTGGTTATTTTTTTATATGGAACATGTGTTTTGACTATACCTATTTACTTAATTATATAAAAATCCAAAATTTTGAAAAATAGTACAGTTTAATCAAGTTTTGGTTGATAATTAAAGTAATAAAAATAATTAAATTCCCATAACGAATAGTGTCGCATACTCTAAAGTAACGACAGCCAACACCTGAACATGGAGCTGTATTCTGCTTTCTTACTAGTATGTTTATGATATCCTTATTATCTTTAAAATATTGGATTGATGTTTAACTTTGATGATGATTTGAAATCATTCTCATTTCCGGTCTTCTGTGCCTCGAATCGTGATCAATTAACGACCTGGGATCACTCCAATAGTATTGTGAATTTTTATTCTTCAACTTTCAGCAACACAACATAACTCTTTTAACGCGATTAAATTTTCATACGTGCTTTAAGTAGCATATAAAATCCACGACTTATTAGGAGCGGGTATATCAACAAATAAATTGAAAAAATACGATCCAAAATTTTATTTGGGTATAATCATACAATATATCTAAGTCTAGCACGAATAGATTGAAATTAGAAAACACTATTCAAAGACCTAAATCCATTTTGTCAATAAAATTATTTTTTGTGAACATACATATCGTTGTTCACTAACTGCGGCGATCCCGACCAGTAATGTCTTCCATACTTCTTCACGTTGCACATCAGCTTTAAGGTCAAGAAATATATAACTTCTACAATTGAAAGAAATGAAAAACCCGTGAAAAGTCCCAAAATGCCGCCACAATTGGCAAGAAAGTCCGTTTGCCCATACAGCTCGTTTCGCTCAGAAGTGATAAATTGTTGCTCTTTGAAGAAGATATTGATTCTGGTGATTTGGACCCCAGGAAACTCACTCATATTGGCCTTGTAAGCTTGAAAGAGTTTTTCCCACATAAAATCTGCTTGAGAAGTTTCCGCATTGTAAACCAATGAGGTGCATCCCGGTAAGCAGTCACAATCAGACGCAGGGTTTTCTTCTGGTGACTTTTCCCGCTTTAAACCAGATTGTACTTCTCTCTGAAGCAGCTCATCTAAAAACAATAATTTAATCATTAACACATTATCTTTAACAACTACGAAATACTGTACTTTGGGCTTCAAACATGCAAACAATGCTGCCCACTCCACAAATTTCTGTTCCTTCTTCATCTAAAAACAAACCAACAACAACATAAAAAATCTTGCAGAACTGTTAAGGCCATCATGACCTACGTGGCATGTGGAATGCTACACATCCGCATTTATTTCGTGTATAATTCGTAAGGCATTCAACTTCGCAGTTCTGCTGTGTATAGCTTTGGAAATACGCTAAACGTCGCTCTTTGGGAAAGAAGCACTGTCTCCTATGCGGATCATAATCCCTCAAGCCATCCGAAGTGGTCATCATATCCGGTTTTACTGCCACCACTACTTCTTGATTAAGTGGAGCTCGGAAGTATTGCATACCAACTCGAGGTGTTTCAGCTGGATTATGCAGATGGATCTGGGAAAGAAAATAATTTGAGGATTGTCATTTTACCATGATGTTTAATCGATTTTTCCGGAAAAATCATAATCCGAAGACGCTTTTTACTAGTAGTATTAAAATGGTAAAATAGCGCAGAATCCGAACCAAAATGCCTAAAGCTAGGTGGAACTTGTTAATAGCTTTGTGATGGTTAAGCGGATAGCGTCCTAAGAGGATGGCAGTGATCCTGGACTAGTTATTTATATTTTGGCCTGTTTTCAGGCCTGTTGTAAGGTCCAGATCAAGATTTTAAGCAACAGCCACTAATTGAGTTTTTTCAGAAAAAGTCGGGGTTTTAAGAAATTTTCGGCGGTCTGGAACCGGACTGAATTCGATTTTCTAGAAGTAGATGGTAACCAGGGTTGTAGTTTTTCTTTGGTAGCATTTATGCTGCTCGCATGTGATTGGGGGATTTTATGATGCTAATTTTATATAACGGTTTTTTCGAAATTACTGCGCACTTATTTTCGTATGCTTTAGAACTTTCTTCCGTTAAAATAGGTAACTTTTGCAGGTGCTTCCAGTCCCTAATAACAGCGTTTTTATCTTGTCTGAACGATATAAAAGGTTTTGCGTCATTCTGAGACAGCAATGAAAAAATAAACACAAGAAATACTGTTAAATACGGATTTATAGCTTAATTTTAACCGATTCCCGCTAAACATAAAACATAACTGAAACGTTTCAAATGTGCAGTTATATTGCACAAATGTAACATATCACGGAAACGTTTCAAAAATGTTTCAGAAACGTCTTTAGCGCATATGTGATTCATAGTTCTACCGCCTCCCAGCACGCATGCCGTTTATTATCTTATAAAACATAACCACTTTCATCTCTCCGAACAACGCATTATTTGGGAGGTTGTATTATTTTATTTTTCATTATTAAATTACTTGACTGGTTCAGCAAAATAAGTGATAATATATTGATAAGTACCTATATTTTTTAATTGTAGAAACTTTAGTGTAGGTAAGTATATTTAGCTAAATTAGACCATCCAACTTAGACCATGTGGACGATGTTATGCTGTTCTCATTTCGAGTTGTTCAGTTCATTTATGTATTAAAAGGCTTATGAATATTATTTGAGGACAATAAAATGAGCCGAACAATAAAAAATAAATATTTCTAACAGGCATCTTTGGCGTTTGGTGTACAAGAACGTAATCAAACTATATAATACTAACAGTTCTGTATATATTGAATATTTTGAATACTCCATCTTAAACTGTACACTGTATAGGGCTGTATTATTATTTTTTCAATTTAGGTTGAGGTTGAGGCTGTCGAAAACGATGATTGATTATAAACTGAGAATTTACCCAACTCCAAAGAAGACTGCCGTCCTTTGCTTAGAGATAACTGAGTTTTAGAAATCATTTTTATTTCTGTGTGTTTGTGTTGGTTCTTGTTTCTTTATTTAATAAAATTTTTATTGTATATGTTTATGCCATTTGAGTTTTATTCATCAACTTTTCGAGCCTGTGAATTGTACATTTAAAACGTTTTTAAACAAGTTAGCTTAAAATGTTTTGCAAATATTTTTATGAAAATGTTATAGAATCATGAAACTACATAGGGATCCTTCTATGAGTACAAATATTTCAACTGGTGGTATATTTTTGGCCTCGAAGCACGGCAATCCTATAGTTCTGCTTCTAGGGCCATTATGTATCACCAATTAAAATATTTGCACTCTTCAAAGATACACCATGTATAATGTTACAAAATATTTATTTGCAACGTTTAAATAACGTCTAGCGCAACGCTTCAGTAACATTTCAACGAAACGTTTCTGCAATGTTTCAGCGAAACGTTTCAGTGAAATGTTTCTGAGGGCGGACATTGCTGAGCATATAGTGCAGGTAACTGAAACGTTTCTGGGATTTGTTATACGTTTCTGAAACGTTTCTGAAACTAAAAATTGTTTAGCGGGTTGTTATCAACCGTATTAAATATGTAATTATTTCAATTATAATTTGATAATTGTCACCTCGCTAAGAGCATGACACGAGTGATGAAAGAAATAAAGCACTTTAGAGATAACGGCCCATTCTAACAAACAAAATTATTCGATTGTAGCATTAAATATTACTTTATTTATCATGTACACACAAAGAAAGACACTTAGAGGAAAATAGCATTAAAAAAGGACCTCCGTAGGCAAAAAATTATATTCTTTCAAAAATTCGGGTACTTGGCATTAAATGTACTGGAAATTTTTTGATGAAAAATATTTTTCTTGGAAAATCGTCTATTCGGTATTAGTCTTCTTAAATATCGACTTTTTCAACCAATATTAATTTGTAAAAGATTTATGAAACAGTCGAACGCTTTGCGATTTTCAAAAAAATAGAAAATTTTAAAAATTTTGGAAAAAAAAAATTTGACCGCAAATTTGTTTAAACCTTTGAGTTGCTCCTAAAAATTTATTTAGGGGTTAAAAAATCTTTTGTTTCCAGGAATAATCAGCTCTTCAGGTCTTTAACTTAAAATTTAAACTCCCCTGACACGGAAGCGGTAACCAAAATGAACTTTGAAAACAATTTTTTATGGGTTAGTCTCAAGTCTATGGGTATTTTAATAGTTTTTGAATTTCTCGTTTGAGTTACAGGGTAAAGAGTGGAAATACAGAGCTCATTTCCTTCCAAACTGTTGCAAATACAAATTTTCTTATAGACAGGGAATGTGTCGAGAATACAACTTACTACTAGAATTCTTTACAAACAATCTCATATTCTGTTTTGAAAATGAGTTAATCGAGCTAAAAATCCAAAGCATTTCGTTTGGAACATCGTCTTCTCGACCTTCAAATCATCATAAGTTCCAAGTTTTTCAACCGAGTCCAATTTTCCGAGTTGAAGTTTTTATAGAAAATCGTAAGTTTTCCAACAAATTTCGAAATCGGCCCGATATTAATAGAGTCTTAAATCTACAAAGAAAACATTGATAACATTTTCCTTGAAAAAACAACATTTTGACCTTCAAACTCTTATAAGTTTCAACTTTCTCAACTGTCCCACCAGCAACAATTTTTAGGAAAAATCACTCGCTTTAGAAATAATTTTCAATGATCCAAATCGGGCCTGTATTAGGAGTTACGTATTTATTCATACTGAACGAACATTCATAATATGCGTGTCATTCGCGCTGATGTTTGCCATCATACAAAGTATTTATTTTCCTAAATTGTCTATGAAATTAGATTATCATTACTCGACATAAACTCAGCACAAGGGGGAGGTTATGACCCTCTGGATCCGCCCTTGAATGTACGTGTAAGAATGTCTGTTTTTTTCATTAATTTCCATTTTAGTTTAGTATGTGTATTTTCGCGACTAAATGTATATGCTTTGTACGAAAGTTTTATTTTTTATGGAGTTCTAGGAATGTTTATTTAAGTAATTTTCTAATTAATTATAGATCGTATTTTTGTCAATAAAAAGTGAACTTATTTATGCTTGTACACTATTTAGTTTTGATGATTAGAACCGATTCATTGTTTATAAAAATAGTGCTTGTTTTGAAGTCCCTATAACGCCACCTTTTTCTGTTGGTTATAGTGTTTTTACTATCTGCCCCATTCATTTAAATCCGAACTTTCTTCATTCTTTCTTCTACTAATATCACTTACATACAGGATCATAAATACAGCAGGAAAGTTACAGGCCATATAAATAACTCGAGGTTTTTCTGCAAACTCTTAATTTGTATTATTTGTAATCTGCAAGATGAAGTACAGGTTTCTGAACTATTATTTGGTCGTGATGGCTGATAGGCTGGAAACCCACAATTGAAGTGATCATAATTTGATTTTGAAATCTGTATCAACGTACATCAAAAACAATACTTTTTTGTTACTTAGATATTCGATTACATTTGAGGGCGACGTCCAAATCAAAGACATTTATTGAAAATACCGGTAATATTGGCTTATAAGCACAGCTATCTCTTATCATCGATTGAGGTTGGCATTAAATTTTCTATATTTTTAGGAAGTGCACTAGCAAAATATTTCGGTTTATTCAAAGCTCAAATAGTAGCTTCTTATTAAGAAAAATAAACTTTTTAGAGAAATACCTTACCTTAAATCCTTGAACTGGTCCTTTACAAATATAATCCAAGTCTTGCTCGTAAGCTCTGAGCAGCAGTAGAAAGCCTGATGTAAATCCTGCTGACATCGCTCTTCGCGGGTAAGTGCTGATAGACGCACTAGCCGGATACCCATCTTCTAAGTTCCAACCTTCCGACTTTCTGCCATGGTTCATATAGTCACCAGGCAGAAATCTGCAACATGATTAATTTATGTTAAATTTCTATCGTTTTGCGAGTATGGAATTGAATACTCACACATTATTTTTTAATAACTCTGTTCTATCCAACATGTTGAAAGTGTAGCAAAGACCTTCTTCGGTCAGTATTGGAGTGAAGAAGTCGTAGCAGGAACCGTTCAGAAGTGTGTATTTGCATTGCCAGAGCATTTCGTCAAACTGAGGGGCAATCTGGAAGAACATCGGGGTGAAACCGTTCCTTAAATTTAAATTTTAATGCAAAACTCACACCCATCAGAAAATTGATTGTGTCATAGTCGGTTGTGGCATTGCCTTTGTTGTAGAGATGATTATCGCACATAAGTGCAAGGTCGGCAAATTTTCGTTTTCTAAAATTGACACTCTTTTTATGCTTTGCCAGCTATACAAACAATACTCACTCTTCCTCTGTCATCGAATTATTACCACCAATCATTTGATGGTAGAAATGGGTAAAATTGTATTGTGTTTGCTTGGCTTTGGTTTCGGAACATACAGTAACAGCTAAGATGTTTTAATTAATTATGTATAAAATCAACATTAGTAGTTACTTACCTGGAAATGGGACCTGCCAAACAGGTGTAGGACTCCGAGCAAAACTCACCAAAACTGGCGAAGTGTCCCATTTTATGTAAGTTTGAATGATTAAATTTATGCAGATATACAATGAGATGGAAAATAGTATCAACCACCATAATCTTAAACAAGCGGATAATTTTATTAAGATGCGCAGTATTATTAAGCGCAGTTAATTTTTGTAGCAGAGAAAAAGCTTTTCCTAGAAATCGTTTTAGGTTTAAATTGTGTCAAAAATATGCAAAAAAGTTTCAAACTGCTTCTATTTTTTTAAATTCAAAGTTCGACGAAGTTTACGACAGAATGCAAATTCTGGTTAAATGCGTATGTAAAAGTAGAAGCACTTGAATGTTTTGTTTTAGTCCCAAACGGTTGCCTGTAAATTAAACTTCTTTTGAGAAATCCTTAGTCTTACATTAGTACGGTTTTCATATCAGCCTATAAACCTGAAACTAAACTCTCCCTAATATGGTGTAATAAGAAAATATATCTAAGACATTACAAGGCTTGCATCGACCAAAAGCTATATTTCGTCACAACTTTATTTATAGTGGAACCATTTTATTTTTTACCAATATGATTTAAATGTTACTTACGAGTTTTTACAAAGATTTTTCGATATAACAAGAAATCGTTTAAGAATAATTACTGCTGTTGCAAGCACGAAATTAAACAGTCGTATTTTGCCTGTAGTAAAGTCTACTAAACAGAAAAGAATGGTAAATCGTTCAATTTCGAAAAGGTGTGGAAAAATAGCTGATGATGCCACGAAAACTAAAATTTGTCTGTCATAGAACTTGCTGCTTTTAACTGAATAATTTACAACTTTTAATTTTTATCCGTTTGGTAGTTTTTTTTGCGGAGTTTTTGCAGATCGTCGATAATGAAAATGGCTCAATTTCGAAAGTTTGTGGAAAAATGGACTTTGATGCTTTTAGTTATAAAATCAGTAACTTTCAGTCTTAGGCGGGAAGATCGAATTTAACTTTTACGAAACCATTGGCGAATTGCCTATTGCATGCGCCTATAATGAATGTATTTAAATTTTCGCAGCAAACCCATTACAAACCGCCTAAACTATTTTGACAAAAATCGCTCAAGTTTGAAAATTTACCAATAAATTGTTGATAATGCCACCAATGCAAAACTTCTAGTTCTTCTAGTCTTAGAAAAAGATAAATTCTTGAATTTATAGCTTTTCCGTGAGTATACATGTGTATTTTCATATAAATTAATGAAAGTGTTTTTTTTTTCTTTTGTCATGATGTGTGAAAATTAATTATCATGTTACTCCACATGTGGCAGCAATTGATGTCTTGGTTCTATCCTCATGTTTTTTTTGAAGCTGCACAAATGTTTCAAAATGATGTTTTTTAATTTGTTATTTTAATTCTGTTTAAATTTGTGTTTGATTTTATAAATTCTAAGAGAATAAAAGTAACAAAATAAATAACATCATCACAAAATCGACATAAATTACTGCAACCCAGGTATATTGTTAATATTGAAATTGCAAAGACAGTCAAGAAAACACGTAAATGATGAAGTTTTATTAACGTGGAGAACAAGCTTTAAGATGAAGATACGGACATTGTTTGCCACTAGTGTAAAATGGAGTTCTTTTCTCCCAAACGTATGTTACTAATTCTTGTTCCGTATTTATCTGCACGGTTTTAAAATATTTTATAAGGCGAATTTGAGCCCGTCAAACGAAGCTTTCTCACGACTTTTTCAATCCACCTGTGCATATAAAATATCTAAAGTTATTAATTACTGAGGCTCGATCGTTATGCTCTGGAATAATCCCAATTGTAAAAATTTATAGTTCTTTTACATTTATTTATCATTTTTTTGTTAAGCAAATACCATATTTACATTATTTTCAAAACTTGACAAAATACGTTACCGTTCAAAAATGGTCATTTGCTGATCTCCCATATACTTAAATCCATGTATCCCAGTATTATTGGAATATTCCGCAAAATACTCGTAGAAATTTTTGCGAAACCCAGGAAATGGTCTTCCCGGTTTCTTTGGAATTTCATCGTCGGTGGTTTTCTGATGCCGCTTTTTAATGCCTCCTTCTTCCAGATCCCTGGATTCTGCATCATTTGAAGTTCGTTCGTCGGGCGATACCATTTTTTAACTACAATATTACTGTATATTTGATTGGCCATAAACAAACAAATTATTAATTAAATGAATTACTTACAGTAGATGAAAAAATGTTGTTCAGTCGTGTGTGATGCGTTTCGGAACGCGCCAACAGGTGTGAGTAAGGGATATTCTGGCAATTTTTCTAGGGCCCGTCCTATATGAAATTGGAAGCAAAAGAGTAGATTATCCGCACCAGTAACGCGCTCAAGTAAATCGAAGCTAAATATGTGGAATAAGTAAGACCATATCTATTACGTCTTCCAATGTAACTGAAAAATAAAAATCTGCACAAAACTAGCTCACTTTGAAATATTAAAATAGATTTGATACGTCAATACCATGAGCCGAACGTCCATGCACTATAGAAATTAACATACTTTGCCATGTTTTATCTTAAGGTATGCTCAAGTGTGCTTTTATTAATTAACATCTACCCATATTTCATGTCCGAAAATAGACGCAACATTAACTAAAATGGTGATCGTTGAAATACCATGTCGGACAAACCAAAAAAAAAAACGGAATATAAATTAAGAAAACATTTTTTTGCATTTTCACACTATATTTGTTGAAATATTTTTCTATTTGAGTATTGACAAAAAATCAACCGCGATGTTTGTGCTGAAAATTAATAAAACAAACAGTTTGTTCTAGAGACTGCATGCAGAAAACATTTGAGGAGGAACAGAAAGAAGCATAATCTACTCGGTTGCTTTTAAAAATAACAGATTTATTATATTTAAAAGTATTAAAACACCATATAAAAATGTGTGCATATTACGCTCCCATTTAGAGATGGTTTGTATATTTTGTTAGCTTTTGGTTGACGAACTTAACATTAATCATAATCATTAAAACCCGTAGAGAATAAAGTGCGTGTTCTAATAGCGAAAATTTGCCTTTCATTCTGCAATTTTGCATTTTGGACAAATATTTTGAAATACTGAAGAACTTGAGTGGTTGTAAATCCTCGAAAGATTATTTAGCGAAAATTTAAAATTCTATATCTTTAATCAAATAAAATATTTTAACCAAAATCGGAATAAACGTGTATTTTCCATTTGAAAGGCAGCTATTTCAAAAGGCTACTGTCTAAGATTAAATTTGTCTTGGTCTTGGTCTTGGTTTATTACTTTTTTGCTTCTCTTAAATCAGGCATTTGCTGGTCCAAAAACAATTTTTTTTAAAATGGCAGTTATTCACTTTTGTAAACAGTTTTGGTGCATTTTTTCCTATTCCACTTAATTCCGATTATAATTACAAGCAATAATAATCCAAAAGTTGCATGCTCACAACTCTTCAATTAAGTATCGTGAATTCAGCGACAATCGCACACCCTTACACGGGGGAGTTTGAAATGTTGATAATTTAGCAACATGTTTTATTAATTACATCTTTCTGTTTATTGTATATATTAGACTCATATTAAAACACTCCCTTGTTACGCCTAGTTAATGGATCCACCTGTTAGCTGCTCGTGTCGAATAACAATTTTATTTGTTGGTTTTTTTATCGATTACAAATAATTCGGAATGTTATAGCTAGAGTAAAAGGAAATTTAATTGTTATTATCCACAGCCGCCTCCACAGGCACCCTTTTTGCGAGGACGTGGAGGTCGCCTTTCGTGGATAGTCGTGGTCGTTTGCTGAACCGTTTTTTCGTCCAATCTTCGCATGGTACGCATTTCTGGATAGTCTTTGTCTCGGGTTTCACCAAACAAGGTTGTCTGGAAAATATTATAATATAATTCACGCATCTGGGGTTTAATTTCAAGTAAATTCACAGAAATAGTCTGAAAAAATGTTTATCAGCATTCCACATGATGGGCAAAATTAAATGAATAGGAGTTTTTAGACCAACTTACAAACTATTTTTTTAAATTTATATTTATACACGCTGTGCTACGCAAATACTGCTGTTTGCTTTCCTTTTAGGAACAGAAGTTACGAATCTAGAAGTTCTGAGTAGGAAAGAAATTTTTAACTGAGAAGGTACAACATGTTGTTAAATTAAGTTATTGGCTATTTTTAGCAAAGAACTGTAAGTGGGTTTTGTGTATTTGAAAACATACTAATATATCTATATTATTTAGGATGTGGTTTAATTTCAAAAAATATGTACAGGAACTGTAAGTATTTGTTAGACTTGCCCATTGAAAAAAGTATCAAATAGAGAAGCACTATGTTGTTGCTAAATTGGGCTAAAATTGTGCTAAACAATGAAATAATAAACTCTTAATTCAACTAGATTTTTCGACAATTAATTTTTTTTCAAAATAGTAAAAAAATTCATATGGTATTCTTTTTTGTAAAATTTTGTGTACATTTTTAAAAATCTTTGATATTTTACCAAAAAAACTGTTCTATTTGTTATAAATAAATTCCTTCGTAAATGGCTATAAATAAATATAAAATATAAATATAGATTACTTAAATTAACTTAAAGAATGTTAATTGTTTTGTATCTGAAAAAATATGTAGGTTTTAGCTATGAATAAATGCTGGTAGTTTAAAAATATTTCAGTTAATATACAGTGAGCAACAACCCCGAAATGCCAGAATTGGAATATTGAGAGAAAAGTAAGAAAAATATTTGTAAAGGATTTGTTTAATATTATGTGCCATAATTCCTATTATGACATATTAAACTAACAAACTTAAGCAAAATTAAACTTTCATTATATTCATACAAAAAATCCTATAAATTTAACTAAAAAATAATCTGCTTAACTTTAACGGTTTTTTTAAATCTATTTATTAAATCCTAGAATTTGTCGGACAGTGAACGGATTTGTTACAGGACACAATATTTGGGCATTTTCAGAGGGCAAAAAAATTATTAAGACGCAGGTTTTTGTCATCGTCATTTTAAATCGGGCCGTTAATTTGAGGATAAATCACTCTTATGTTTGTTATTAAAATATTTTCTCATGTTTCCCTTCTTCATTATTTTTAGTTAAGAAATTATTACCTCTCTGTCTGGTTCTCGTTCCCTACGCCTCATTCTCCTCTTCTCGTCAGTAACAGCCCGACCAGCATCAACCAGTCGTTTTGCTGCTTGTTCTTCAATGCCTGCCGCAGTCCTTGAAGACCAACCGTCTGATTCTTTGTGTCGAGTTGCTGTTGATAATTCATATTAATCGAAACAGTTGTTTTGTACATTCAGGTTCATTTACTGGTCTTTTTCGTGTCTTCCTTCACACTTGGTTTAGTCATTCGTATGGCCTCGTCCTCTTCCAGTCGAATATATGCTTCTGTTCTCACAATGTTCTTCCCTAGTACTCCTTCCAGTTCATTCAGTCTTAAAAGCGAAGAAAATGTTAATTCTAGGTTGTTCGTTGTTTAAATGAATTTCCTTACTTTTCCTGCTTTTCCTGTTCTTCATCTTCCAGATCATGCATCCTCTGTTCAATAAGCTTGCTCTTCATGGACGCATGAGTGTTATCTCTGTCTAGTTGGTTCTTCAGATAATCCAACCTGGCGTCCAACCTGTTAAAAAAAGGGGGTTATCGAAAATTGATTCCTTTGAGCGGAAATTACCGTCGATTTTCTTCGGCCAATCGTTCTTCTTCAATTCTCAGCCACTGCAATCTGTGGAACGCTTCTTGTCTTCTTTGCAGTTCAACGTCTTCAGCATTTCGCTCGATCTGCAAAAGTAAATGTTTGATGAAAATGGAAAAAAGTGTTGCGCTTTTTTTACTAGAGCAGGAATTGGGCAGATGTAGTTCAAAAATTCCGTTTTGTCTTTTTCAAATTTCTCAAAATCGAATTCGGGAATCATTTGGAATATTTCGCTAATCATCCACATCATTTTGCTGTTGAACATGTTATTGCGTTCCTGATAAAAGTTGGTTGCTTGAATTTGCTCATTCACTAACACGTCGCTGACATCCTGGGTCATGGTTTCGTACACTTTGGTTACTAGTTTCCGGAAGGAAATCAGGTCATCTTCCATGACTTTTCTCATTATTTCCCCTGATAATCGCAACTTTAGTTTAAAGTCTTTGAGGCGTTAGACCCAGATTACCATTATCAGCAGTGAACTTTGCGACTAAATTTACAAACTCCTGAACTCGAATCTTGGTTTTGCTCTCTTTCAAGTGCTTTAGAATCGCTGCTAACTGCTTCTTATCTTCTCCTTCCGGATTTCCTCTTCGCATTATCTTCTTGCGTATTAGTTCAAAATCCAGTTCTAAACCAGAAAGACACATTTTGAGGAAGCATTATTAAATGTAGATACTCACCCTTTTTCTTTCCGACAATACTCAAAGCCGGCAATGAAAATTCGATAGTTTTCTTGTCAGTTGCCTTTTTTGGATCTTTGTTTCTATCATCTTGTTTCGCTTTTTCTGGAGGCTTATTGAGAGGTTGCTGACTGACCGAACCTGCTCGAGATGGACCAGCTTGCGGCTGGCGAAGTTGCGAACGTTGCATTGTTTCTATTAGTAATAATTCCTTCAAGAGTTAAAATCTGGAAAGACCGAGCGAAGTAGAAAGTGCGTATTTCAGATTTAGCGGACTTACTTAATCGTTTATAGGCAGGGACAAATTCTTTTCAAGGCGCAGCAGAGGGCAGATACAATAATAGCTGTTGCTATGCAGGCTATCAAAGTACCATTCATTTTCCATATGCGATCAGCAGCACATGAGGGACAGAGTCCAGAGCAAATTGATCCAGGTTGCAATAATAAGGGTTTCCAAAAAACAGACGAGCATTCTTTTTAAAGCATTACTAAACGGGAAATTTTGAAAATGACTGACACTTAGCTACTGGTTGATTTATTATTAATAACCACTGGATTTTAATAAACGTTTTGCAGGTGCTATTGGTTTTCAGTCCTCTAGTAATTATAAATGAAGCGTTTTCTCACTTATTTGGCAGCTAATAAAAGGACAGTAATTGATGCATATTATAATAACGGCGTAAAGCCACAAATAGTTGCCCAAATCTTAAACAACCCTTATTGTGGCATATTAACCTGAGCCAAATAACACGCCCTGTATGTTTCGTAACTGCCGCAGCAGGTGGGGTTCACTGTTTCTATAGTAGTTCTGAATTGTGACTGATACAAACAAATAGCATTTGGTAGTTGAAATTTTCAGCAAGTGAAACATTGAAGCGTATTTTCTCTAGTATATAGCTCCATTTTATCTATATAGAAGCTTTTATTAGAATGGGCGAACCTGCTGAGACTGATTTGTTACAAGGTATGGCTTAAACATTGTCTTACGAACCATAGAAAAACATAGTACCTATAAACTATTCATAGTTTATCTAGTAATTTTATATACATTTCAAATACATACATATAATTCCCTGATTATAATAGGTTGTTACTCAGAAAAAAATGTATTTCTCCGTCAAAGGAAAAAATCGTACATTAGCATATGCTGTTATCAGCTAGGGAACATTCAAAATACAGATATGAACAGCAGATTAAAACAAAAAAATCAAACATTTTATTTCTAGTTAATTGGTATTAAATCGACGTAATAAATCTCACAGTATCGTCATTATTAAATTACACTAATAAAGCTTGATTAACATGAATAACGAGAAAAAGTGTATTAAAAATCTATACCATTTTTAAAACTTAGATAATCACGCAAAATGTAACAACTTTTTCTAACTTGCTTTCAAAATTACGGTCTGTAAGGTTTTGTCCTAATTGTTTCACTGTTTATGTCTTTAAATTATATTATACAGGGTGTCCCACCGGGAATCGTCGCCATTATTATCTGGCAAACTGTAATTCGGAGAAATTTGAAAATTGGACGGTGTGTCGAAGTCATTGAGGCCAAGCGATCTAAAGTATTTTCAAGATGGCCACACTTCCGGTTATTCCGGAAGTAGGCATCAACTTTGATCACTATTAATACAAAATGTTAAAAAAATAATTTTCAAAATAAAATTGGGAAAACTGCCCAAAATCAATTTGTTTAAATGGAAACCCCCATTTTTGATAATTTTATATTATTCAGTATGAAAAATAAGGGCAAGTTTGTGTAAGGTTGTCTATTCCAAAAGTGTTTAGATTTCGAAACATTGTCAATTTAATGTTGTATATGGCTATGTTGCCTCATCTTGTCGCTTTCAGTTTCCATGACGAAAGTGACCATTTTTGTGCCAACTTGTTTAATATTTGAATTTAAAGTATCCAAAAAAGGTGAAAACAGAATTTCCTCACCTTCTATTACAGATTGATAAATAGTGCTCCTATTTCGCAATAAGAACAAATTGTTTATCAAAAAGTAATCAAGAACTATCACCTAGAGGGTATCCTGCGACACAGGCTCAAGCTGTAAGAGAAAATTCTGCAAAAAAAATTAAATTAAAATATAATTATTAATTATTTTCAAAAAGTAACTGACAGACCCCTTTTGCCATGGAAACTGAGAGTGACAGTATTTAAAATAAGATGCCACAAAATAGCCATATAAAAACATTAAATTGGCAATATTTCGAAAACTAAACACTTTTGGAATAGGCATCTTTACACAAACTTACTCTTAATTTTAGTACTGATTAAGATAAAGTTATCAAAAATGGTGTTTCCATTTGAAAAAATTGATTTTGGGCGGTTTTCTTAACGTCATTTTTAAACTAATTTTGTTGAAATTCGATTAAAGTAAGTCTATTTGAACAAGAAATGCGACTCAAATTAACCAGCACATATTTCCTTATAGGAAAAAATAATAATTATTCGATTGGCTGCAACTGGCATTTTTCACATAAAATTTCAAATAGATCAAAAACGTATAGACTTAGGTAAAGGATATTATACATGAAATATATTTAAAATAGAGTAGAATCCAAAAATCTAATAATATATAGGGTGTTTCATTTAAAATTGGCAAGTTATAACCTACTTCGGGGATATCCGGCAGTGTGGCCTTCTTGGAACTAGAATATTTACATCGCTTGTCCCCAATGAGTTCGGCACAATGTTCAATTTTCAAATTTCTCCTGATTATAGTGTGCCAGATATCCATCGAGGCGGTTCCCGGTGGGACACCCTGTCTATTTATTTATAAGTAGAGCTATTAAGAAATTGCATTACATTTAGGAATTTAGAATTTTTGCAGTTTTACAACACTAGTGCTATAATGAACAGAAATACAAGAACGTTATTTAATATTTGTTTAACAACGTTTGATCTCATGATTATTTTTATTTCAAGTGGGACCAGTTTATATACAGTTATCTTGTAGATTTATATCACAGCACTCAATGTTCCGCTATGTATTTGTTAATTAAATTTAACATTTCATTTTAATTGTGCATCTTTTGTTTGAGTATAAGAAGCAATGTGTATTATTTTCTAAAGAGTCTGTTCCTGGGAATGGGAAAATGCATAAGGTGCTGGAACAGTTGAGTCATTTTTCGCGATATTTTAATGCCGATTTAATCGTCTTATACATAGACGCTTTTTCAGGGAGGTACAGGTTCTCAAACTATGGCTCTTTGGCGTTGTAGGTGTTTGTTGTGAATATTATTAGTAAAAAACTACTTTTAAATGATTTCATTCTCACCTTTCACATTATTTGTAGTCACCGACAAAAAATTATTCGGCTTAAAAAAATGTATGTATAAAAATTTTAAAAAATTGCATGAAAAATTTGGAATTGGTTTGCTTGGAACGGCTTCAGTGAGGTGGAATTCCTAGAAGAAATAGAATTATTTTTTACTCAAATTTGTGCTGTTTTTATGTCTTAACTGTTCTACATCGCATAACCAATCGTAAATAAAATATTATGTACCTACATATTAAACAATAAAAATTAAATAAAAAAAATCGAAAGGCTTTTTTGCTATCTCAACTGAAAGGCGTTGTGCTTAATTGATAAGGACATTTGGGCAAATTTACCAGTTACAATCGGTACCACCGACGAAGTTTAATTTAATTTTGTCTGGTTTTTATGGAGTCGGTTTTTATGAGCATTAAAAGTTTTTTTACGGCACTATTTATAAATAACGATTTTGCTATGATACACTAAGTATAGGATTTTAGTTTCTTACTCAAATTGTTTGCTGTTAGTTTTGAATATTATCTGTTACTTATCTCAAAAATACCAATATTACTAAGAAAAAATGTTTCGATTTGTTTTAAAATCTTCAAATGTTTATATCGGCCCATGTTATTAAGTATTGTTTTAGCAATTAGGGAATCGTTGCAAAAAGACGGAATTCTTGGCAGATTTAAAGGTGAAATACGTGCTGCAGTGATAAACGTTTTAAATAAAAACTCAGATCCCGGTGATGCGCCTGAAATCCCACAGGAAACTAAACTAATAAACGAATTGGTTAGAGAATATCTAGCTTGGAATGGCTATTTATATACCGAGCAAGTAATGGCGGCAGGTATGAAGTATTTCTTCAATTTCTTAAACCAAGTCTTGCAACCGTTTTTTTCTTCAGAATCCTACCAAACTGGAGAGCGATTGACCAGAGACGTTTTAACAACAAAAATGGGAGTTCTAGACGATGCAAAAACAGCAAAAATTCCTTTGCTCTATTATATTGTAGCAGGTTTTCAAGCTCAAAATGAAAATTGAAACCTTGTTGTTTTGGGTTTGAGAAACTGAGCTCCGAAATTAAATAAACACCAAGTTAACTTTGCAACAAATGTTTATTAGCAGTCACTATTAGTATTAGATCACATTAGAATTATAGAGAATGGCAAATGCCTACAATAACACTAAAATATACCTTAATGCTATGAAATTTAATTTGTTGGAAATAAAAGTATGTTTATGACTCAAGAAGCCGGAATCTACAAGATGGGCAAGAGAAAACTTAATTTTTTTCAGGTTTTTTAAAACCCTCACTGATTATTTTAAATCAGATTTAAAACACTGTTTGAATTTGAATTTCCTACTTTTCCTGAGAGCGATGTTTAGGATCGTATGAATTAATCATCACCCTCAAAGTAAAACTTGTAAAACAAATCCAATTCTTTCAGAATTTAATATATTGAAAGCTTATAGAATAACATAATTTAAAAATAACCTAATAACACAAATAACCACAAATAACAAGCCCTCATTATTATTAAGTTTCAAGTTCAAATATGTCGAAAGTCAATTAAAATACATAAAAAGGCTAACCTAATACTAAACAAAAAATTAAAATTTTCAAAAAAGACAAAGCATAAAATAGTATTTATTTTAACATTTAAAACGTTTTATTACTTAAAATAGTTTCGTCCGAAAAAAAAAATGAAACAAAAGTAACTAAATGGTACTAGGTAAAAAATACAGACTAAAAAACAGGTTAAAATTGATTATCTATTAAGTGCTTTAACCATTTTAAAAATATATTTGCTCATAGAAGACTTATTAGAAAAGTTGAGAAAAACAATAGTGTAGATAAAAGAGGAAAGGTGTGTACATAGTGATACTAAAGTGGATGAAAATCCATTTACCATTTACTTAAAGCAGGCTTTGTTCTTTGCCCGCCTTCCGCATTTTCTCCATTTTCACTTAGTAAAAATAATTTATGTAAGAGGCATACATTTAATATTACTAAATTAAAATCATTATTTACCGAGATTATAACGCAAAAAGAGGGCAAAAATATATGAAAATTGGCTGAAAAACCCACTTCGTCGTAGATTGTCATGTATTTTCATAGTTAGAATTAAAGCTACTAGGATCTCACTAGGGAATGATTAGATATGATATTTACAGTCGTAGAATCACTGTCCACAAATACGGTATTTTAAGAAGAACATTTGGAAATTTATTTAAACTAATATGTAAAGTTGAACTGCTTAAGACTAAAAACAGTGCTTATGTGTAACTAAGTCAATTTTCTCTCGAAAACTCTTATTACAAATATGGCACGAAAACAAATTGCCCCCAATGTTATGTTGGCGTTTCTTGTGTTGGGTGAGTCCATGTTTGGCACCGAACTTTCGAAAGCAAATATCACAAAAGAACTTTTTATTTTTATTGAGTTTAGGCGGCATCTTTGCCTTATCGGAAGTCGCCTTTTTAGCACCACTGTGCTTATTCACTTTGCAAAAATGCAGGATTGTTTGAGGGCCTGCCGATTTATCAATGGGAAATGGATCGCCGCAGTATCGGCATGATGTTTTATTTTCATGAAGCCTGCAATATGCAATTCAACTTAAGTCTAACTAATAATTTAAAACGCTTGATCTGATTAAACAAGAGATTTAAAAAGTTAGGAAGGTCAAAAGTAGGAATTAAAAATGCATTTTAATGCAAAGTTTTCGTTCATTGTTTGCAAACCCGTTGAGTTTTAATATTACTTACTTCATGTGGGTCATCAATGTTCGTTTTTGCAAAAATTCCTTATTGCAGATGGAACAAATCAACGGTTCTTTTCCATGAAGTCGTTCATGATTGTCCAGTTCAAATTTTCTTGTAAAAGTAGCACCGCACTGTCCACATACAAAAGACGTTAACGATCCATGAAATCGCAAATGCATTACCTGAAAAACGCGTGAAAATGTTTTAAAATGATAACATTTTGATATGTCTTCAAATTTATTTTTAATAACATGTTGAAGCTTACTAGATGATTTTCCTGTGCGAAAGTATCGCCGCATTCCTTGCACACAAAGGGCCTTTCGCCTTTATGAAATTTTTCATGGGTAATTAATTGCTTTTTCAATGGAAAGCTTTTGCCACAATCTCCACATATAAATGGTTTTTCTCTTTTATGAACCTAAAAAATAGGATATTTTTTAGAAGCATAAAGTATTTTCAATTATTTTTATGTTCAATTTTGCAGTAGAGTTACAACTGAAATGGAATGCCGGTTTTGAAAATATAAACTGCCCCTACAGAAAGCAAATAAATCGTTACAAGATTTTATAGCGACGAGTTGCAAAATATTGTGAATTAATGAAGGACCGATAAAAACATTAATCATAATTTTAATGTGATTAATATTTTTGTTTAATTATTTGTTAAATCTATGAACATATTTACATTATTAAATGGCACGATTATAATTTATATTCTCATTATAACATTGTAGAATTTCCTGTGAAATAACAGCTTAAAATGTTATCATACCATTCAACAGACACTCAGGTAAAGGAGCAAAGTACATTTTAAAGCTATATTTATGCTTTATTGTTTGATAATCGATTTTTCCACATTATTTCCTAAAAGAGTTAAAGGTAGCAATAGGATTATTAGACCAAAACAGCTGGAAATGTAAAGAAAATTAAATAAAAAATAGTACCATGAGGTTGACTTATCGCCCTTAATTTTGATGAATGAATTTAATTCATCCTTAAATTAAATATTATAAATGGTGACGGCTCAAAAGTACTTGTGCAATACACAAACAACGAAACATATCTGGTGCAAAATTAAATGCGAAATAAGAAAGGAAGACAAAGTATTATAGTTAATATGGAAAACTTTATTTGATGAGATTTTCCAGAAAAAAAAAATGTTTTATAAACTGTAGGTAATACTCTAAACAATAAATAACTTGAATTGGAAGGAAAAGATCCTTCAATTGAGAAGAAAGGAAATGCTGCATGAATTAGTTTATTAATCATGTGCGATGTTCTTCTGTATCTTCTACTGGCAATTTCGAAGCTTTGTCAAATTCCATGAATATTTATCGATTGCATACACTTGGTTTTTATATTCATAATCATTTAATAAACCGACAAACTTTTATTTTCTTTGAAAAAAGGGTTGTTAAATAACTACCTCAAGTATGGAGCACAATTATTATCAATTATTTTTTAACAGCTCTCTATGATTTTTATACAAACATCGAATTTGTTGTGGAAATAGGAAGTTTATTGAAGTAAAGAGAGTCTTATGAAATTGTAAAATTGTGAATTGAAAAATTCTTCTTGCAAGTACGTAACTAACAAATAAAATAGAAAACAAACACACAAAATAAGAAATAAAAGTTGCATAATTCGATCCTTTTGTATGCACATTTAAACTTTTCATGCTGTATTTAGCAGCTTTATAAGTAAACAAAATTGTTTTGTGTGCAAAAAACTTACATTAATGTGACTCATTAAATGATGCTTCAATGTAAACCTCTTGTTACACTCAGAGCACTGATGAGGCCTCTCATTGGTATGTAAAAGCAAATGTGTATTCAAACAATACTTGTGAGTAAAGCTTTTTCCACAATGCACACAAACATGGGGCCTTTCTCCTGTATGCGTTTTTTCATGGGTTGTTAGATGGTGTTTCAAAAGAAATGTTTTACTGCACTCGGGCCAAACACATTTATACGGCCGCTCTTCTATTTTAAACCTTGCTGGATCTTTGATGAGAACCTGAGAAGGAAGAACACTCTTTGGCGATTCGTATTCCTCTTCAATTGTCGCATCATTATTGTGCACAAGTTTTAAGAGTTGCTCATTGCGATTGAAAGCTGCATTATCCGACTCGGCACATTCACAGCCGGGGATTGTGCAGGATGGTTCCCTGTTTGTAAAGATTGCAGGATCGTCTTTGTGGTTGATGAGGCACAAGGCCGATTGCAAGCAAAGCTTTGACTTGCTTTCAAATACTTGGGCAATATCGGATAATGGGGGCTCCAAGTCCCAAAATCCCAGAGAGGACACATTCATATTTAGCGAAAAAAATTATAAATATCTCGGGCAAAATCAATGAAATTGAAAAGCACCAATAGCACTTGGAGCACTAGAGCATCGTTTAATCACTATTAAATTGTACAAGATCTTAATAGATATTGATGAAAATTGGGAAAACAAAAAACAGCTGATTATATTGCCATCCCTTTAGAGCTGCGGGATACAACTACCCCTATTTGGTTATACCCGTTGCGTTCAGATGGCGTGTGAATGTATTCCTGCTGGATTTTTCGATTTACAGAATTTCTCTGCAATGCTTTCCTGTTCATTCCACTAATGGAGTTTAATTGAGTACAGGGTGAGACATTTTAGGATATTATTCAGGAGACCAAGATAATAAAAAATATTCTTCTAAAGAAATCCTAAAAATTGCTTCTTCCGCTAATTTGAAAAGGCAACTTTAGCTCATAAAAGAAGCTGTTGAAGCTAAAGTTATGAAATTCCCTAAACAATTATTGCCTAAAGTTTTTTATTAGCAACATCTCGTAATTTTTGGGTTCAAATTAACTAAACTGTTAAACAAAGTGAACGTTACACAACCAAATTTGTCCCTAACTTTGGAAGTGAATAAATTCTGCTTGTTTCAAGAAATTTGGTTTCTGTTTGTAGCGTTAGTGAGCCCCATTTGTTTGCTGTTAGTGAATGTTTTGGTATAAATTAAGCATCTCAGATAAATTTTCTACAAGGTGGCAAATGAAAAATGCAAAATTTTGCAAAGCTCGTAATATTCCCAGTTGGACAAAAAAAAGTTTTTTTTTTATCTCAACATCAAAAGTTTAAAGATAAACCAAATAGCTTGAAACGGTGTTCGAATTTTTTAGCCAGCCGTTCTGTTAACAGATTGGTCTAAAAAAATAACTTTTTGGTTTGAAAGCGATACATTTTCTGTTCTTGGTTCGAGTTTCACCATCTGGAGCTGATGTTCAAGATTAAACTTACTAGACGATTTACGAAAATTCTATATCCAGAATTGCACAAAAAGTTACCCAAATCACAATTGCCCCCGAAATATGTGATTCTGGAAGAGTTTTTCAGAAGAGAAGTTTAGTTTCAAATATTTTATTCATTTCTGCATCCCGGTATTTTGAGTTGAGTTTGAGTCCACTGGGAAACTTTAGCGTCACGACAAACCCTAGATGTTGCAAATGAGTTCAAGAGAAAAAATAATCACTTAAAGGCCAAAAAATTGATTTTTTAAAAATTAGTCTGTAAATTGACGAGATGAACGAAAAATGTAAAAACGTTTATTGATATATGAAGTCTTCTGAAAGCTTGCGGTGTTGAAATACAAAAAATCCTTTTTTTTGTCTAACTGAGAACACGCAAAACTTTAACCTATTTTTTCATTCTTTCATTTGCCACCCTATAGAAACTTTATCTCACACAATGATTTTTGGCAAAACCACGCACTAACCGAACAAAAATTGCACTAAATAACAGTTATTATAATTCCTTTGATATGCCAAAGCATGAAAAGCTGAGTTAATGCAGCTTTGCTTTCTCTTTCGTCTTTAATTGAGTTTGTTTTGATCCAAAAACAGGCCTCGGATTCTACTTGGCAACGAGAAGTTAGGACATTCTGTCTTTTCTTGAAAACAGGCATTTTTTAGGCAAACCACCCAACAAAAAGCTTTTGAAAACATCAATCCGATTCAACCAAATCAAACTTATATAAAACATTATCGCTAAACAAAATGTTTAATGGATGATGGCAAAAACTGGGAGTATTAACAATATCATGTACAAAAAAAAATATCTTCAGTAGTTAGAAAGTATAATTAAAAACACACAAACAAAATTGAAAATGCGACCTCGATGTAAACACGGTCATATAATCATATAAACTTCGCCGGTCTTTTTATTGGTATTTTAAACCATTAAACTTTTCGACAACGTGTGCTTTAAAGTTTCAGGCACTTGGTTTGTCGGAGTATTATATTTTCTAGTTAAATCAGCCATTGACTGAAAGTAATGCTACTTAAAACACACAAAAAAAATCGAAAAAAGTGAGGTCACGATATAAAAACGGTCATAAAAATAAAGTTCCTCCTTCTTTTTATTGTTATTTGCGTTGTCACTTTCCGTAAAATTGTGCTGATTATTATATTTTATAATTAAAGCAACCTTTGACTAAAACTTTTAGAATTTTTTTTGACGTAGATGTAATATTTTTCATGTACCTACATTTTAAGCAAAGTATTAAAATTATTCAATAGAAATGAAAATAAAAATAACTAGACCCTAGTTTTTCATAAAAACAAACAATACCTTAACAAATAATAGTTATTTTTCAAAGTTTCTTGACCCATTAATACAATTTAGGCATTTTTGGATGAACTATATTTTATTTAATTAATTAGAATTTCTAATTCATTAGGCTTGACGTGACTAAAGATATAAAGCGGGGGAAATAAATGTGCATCTGTAAATGAATGGATGAATAGGCATCTTTAAATAGCAAATACCCAACGCAACGATTTATTTTGTTTATTTTACAAATACTTACATGTTCAAGTGAGTTTCCACTTTTTTAAAATAACCCAATGCATTATTACAATTAGACTTGATTTTCTATGCAAAAATTGGACTGGCCGAGCAGGAATCAGCAAACATTGCTAAATAAAACACTATTAAACATTTGTGAAAACAAGTGCTTTATTAAGTTAGTTACTTTTTTACGCATATTCATTTCCACAAAAAAAAATACATTTATGCGTTAAGCTTAGAACGAAGAAACCAATTGGAATCATACAACTCTAAAGCTTTCACACCATCCGACACTAGGTACTAAACAACAGATGCTGTGCAGAATATAATAATCATTCTAGTATATTAACATTTAATAAATATATATTTTATGGAAAGATATACTGACTGACAATGTTTTAGGCTAAAATAGACGATAGATTATACCTTATTTCTTTTGATTATATGGAGTTTAACATGGGTTTATCTTAATAATGTTTAATACTTAGCTATGCCCACATTTATTACCTGATATCTATTGTAGAATACGTAGATGGATTTGACTATAAAATAAACTGTTTTCAAACTTTCGTTCACTAACTGATCCCATTTTCACTCCCCGTTTTCATTGTGCTGAATGCTAAAGTACAAGAATTAACTTGATGAGAATATTGTTGTAGGTTTTACCATAAGAATACCATTTTAAAATAGCAGTATTTATAAATTAATAAATAAAATTGATTATTTTATGATTCTATAGATATTAACCATCTTTCAGTGTTTGAGTAAATAGACAAATAGTCTCAGGAAAATATTATTATTTTAAAATTGATTTCTATATTGGTTTTAAAACAATTTGAAGAGCATGAAAGACAAATATAATATTTTTTTATAACTTTCTGGGTTTCAGTCATAAAATGCAGCTTGCAGCTATTGTTTATTTTGTAAGCTTATTTAATGGAAATTAACTTGTAGAAATCAGTTTGACCAGGTAAAGTTGAGGTATAGAATCATTTTGGTTGGGTCAGTTGTGCGCTTCTCAACTTCCATAAATCTGTAAAGAATCGAAAAGTATTTTCGCGTAACATGTGAATCGACCAAGGCTTAGGATTTATGATTCATTTATTTAAAGACGTACCAATGCTTAATAAAATAACCTCTTCTTTTTGAATGTGGCAGGATCAAAGGCCCCCCAACGCGGTTTGTAGTCTGGTTGTGAATTAATTTGATGGAAGCGGTTGTTTGCAGGTCTATCGACTGATCCATAACGCATCGGCTCATTAAACCTAGCAAAACATTATTTTAAACCTTTAATTACTAAAGCTTTAACCGACAATGCTGGTCTCCTACCAGGTTTCATCATTATTATCTTCCACTGGATAAAATTCCCCATTCTTCAACTCGCGCTGATTCTTTTCGTAGAACTGGAGTAGGCGTAAAACTTCGTCGGGTGTTAAATCAACATTACGCTTGTACCTGGAAATATTTTCTAAGTAATGTCTTAAAATAATTTTCCTGATATGAAAAAGAGGCGATTTCAACGGTTTTAGATTTTGTGGGCATTCTAAACAAGCTAAATGAGGAATTATATTTTTTCTTTCCTGGGTTTCAGACAAAATGTGAAATTACTTATTATTAGTGAATTACAGGAAAGAAAAAAATATAATAACAATTGCACGTAGTCAGTATAATAAATCAAAACTAAATGAGGAAGTTTACCTATAAATTATGAAAATTTTTGTTTAGAATATTTTGTAAATGGTTGGATATTAAATGCAAATATGGCTGGACGCGATCGGTTTATATGTTCTTGAGTTCTGTTAAAACTAAGTTATGCGATTTTATTTAATTTCAGTTAAAAATCTCTCGACAAAAACGTATACATGGATGGATCTTGATATTTCTGAAGAATATGTTGATAACTTTCATCAAAAAGTTTCCATTTGCCTTTTCTTTAAATTAAATTAAATTTCAAATTCATCTTTGCGGACTAAAAAAGTAATTTACAAAGCGGCTTAGCGCAGGGACATAATTAAAATTTAGTTCCTTTCTTAATGAAATAAATACTTCCCGAAATGCAAACCATGTTACCGACCTAAAGTTGGATTGATGTAAAGTTGAGTGAAAAAGCGAAAAGGTAAAAAGCAAATTCCAAGCATGAAATAGGTTTGGGTTTAAATCTGCAGGATTAATTCTAGAAGGCAATATTACAGGATTTCTGAAAATTCCTCTGTACAGAGTACAATCTCTGTACAGAGTGTATGTAGTTTTGAAATGTAGGAATAAAACAAGAAATAAAAAATTTGCCTCAAACGTTAAGAAACGTATTTTTGCTTCTGGGATACGACGTGGCCAATGTACTTATGTCTTGGTTTCATGTTTTTTCCAAAATTTATATGTGCATCTTTGCCTTTGATTAATTAAGTATAAGGTAAACAACATGTATTCGATTAATTTATTCATTGATTTCTTTAAAAAAATGGTCAATAATTTGATCAGCAAGGTTATATTTCAAGCGGGCTAGTTTTTTGTCTTTAAAGTGTGTATGAATTGTTAAAAATGCGAAAACTGTAATTTTATTTTTTTCGGTATAGTCTCAGAAAGTGAAACTTTTATTTGATATGGTAAAAGTAAAAGATTAAGATATTTTTTAATGATTTTATACTATTTAACTTCAATTAAATAACAAAATAGCGTATTTTGATGAGCAATGGATCTAATATTGATGGTCCAAATACACTTTCCGTTAAATCAGAAAAACACCGATGTTTAAATCCACATCAACAGCTGGTTCAATAAAACAACGGTAAAATTCCATCTGGAAAATCGACAAGCAAATCTTTAGCAATCATGAAATTCCATATTCAAGCTCGCATATCCTTAACTACTAAATGATGTTCTGTTAAAGCAGAGCAGATGCTTCCATTTGAATAAACAAGTCATATCTAGCGCATAATAAGTTAAGAGTGGCGCTGAATTAATTAATAGTCATTCATTTCCATTTTCCTCATTTTTTCTTATGTGTATGCTTAACGGGTTTCTCGCAAGGGAAGTGATGCGTGGGTGTAGGCTGCATCGATCTAACGTGAAAGAAGATCTCAACGGTGTGAAAAGCATTACTTTATAAATCTCTTTATTTTTGCTGCATATTTGTTTCGCATTATTAAGCCACTGGTACACTGAGCAAACATCATTTGCTTCATATTAGTGCCTTTTTATACCGAATGTTGGTATAAGCCCTGAATGTCCTTTCGAGTAAAGCAAATTGAGTCAGATAAAGTGCAAAAATACAGTCGGATATTTTACATCCTAATGAAACAGAGGCAAAATTATTGTATTTCCCACATGCTGTTTATTCGGACGCTGGTGAAATTACAGCCTGGAAATCCTTAATAAAAGAAGACTTTCTCCATTTCCTTGCTTTATATTTAGTTTCATCCAACTTGTACGATTTGAATATTATTCACAGTTAATTTAATATAACTCCGACTAAATAACTTTCGAAGTGGAAAGCTCTATATTTACCAAGAAATTATCACCAACTAATTTCTCGCTTCAGTTCATCGCTGTTGTGAAAAGATTGCTTATAACTGGCAGCTTTTAATAGGAAAATTCGGACAATTTTGAGTTAATTGAAGTCTTAAAGATTTAATAACTTGTCAAATTGGAACATGTTATTAATTTTTAGATGAATAAATTAACTTTTATAAGTGAGAAATTGGAAAAACAAGTATAACAAATTTCAAAGGGAATTAATTTCACACTCAATCAGATGCGCACTTTTATTGGAAATATGCTTTGGAGTTTTCTTTAGGAAAAATCGAAGGTTCAAGCTTCATTTAAAAGTTGAACAAAAAAATATACAAAAGCGCCTAAATGTTCTAGATGCTCCTTTTACTGTTTCATTAAGCTCAAGCATAAGTTTCATCAAACGCGTCAAAGTACGCTTGGCATAGTATTGGAATTTATGTTAAAATATTTTTTCTTGCTGTTAGTACGGAAATTTATTGTGACTTGATAAGTTGAAGCATCTTTTTATGATCCCCTAAAAAATGGAAATTGCTAGAATTTTCAATTAAAAACCCTTCGGCATTGCATAAAACCACAGACAATTTTCATTTGATGAAAGCACGTTTCAAGACATTTTTGTTTAGAATTAAGAGCCGGAACAAGGCAAGAGCGGACTTGAAATAAAATAATAGAATCCCTTCTTTGTGGAAAAACCTTTTAATTTAGGCCAATAACAAATAAATATTCTCTGAATATAAACTTTAGATTTTGATGCCGATTTTTGCAAAGACAAAAAAATTATTTATGATTTATGAATAAGGAAATTGTAAAGAAAGTGAATTGAAAATGACCAATTCAATGTCTTCCATTTAATTATTATAAGTAGTTTTAGTTGCGACTTCAAAAAATGGAAAGATATCAACTGAATACAACAAGTCGCAACCCTTTTCTTTTAGATGTTTGTGAACAGAATTATGTTTTGTTCTCTTTTGTTTGCTTCAGCTACGCATCAGCACCGAGCTTCCATTTCTGTAATCTAATTATGAGAAAGCTTCCACAAATCTTAAGAGTGATTTATATCACATCGTCGACCGCTACCAATTACGATCAATTAGTAAACCACGCTGGCAAGAAGAGAAAAGCTTTTAACTGCTCGGCGAGGGACTGAATAATGTTTATCGATCAACTGCGAAACAAATACGCCATCAGGCAACAAGTTCCATGAAAAAACAAACAACTCTCAAGAGAATCCAGATATGTTTTCGAAGGGAAATTAAATTTATGGATAAGAAGCTTTTTGTCAGCTTGGTTCAGTTATTTGGAAGGTAAAATCCTCTGTGGCATCGGCAATTCCCTAAAGCGCCTATAAAGGAATATACCTTTGTTGATAACGTTTTAAGAGAAAACATAATTTACATTTTGCCATATTTATGCTCAAAATGTCTCGAAATATTCAATTTGTGCGATTCATATTATGTAATTAATTGAAAATTTCAACTTACCTCAAAGTGTTGCGTTTGTTGCTCACGGTTTCCCTTTTGCGTCTACGTCTGTCTTCATAAGGCCATCTGTAAAGATAAAAATTGCCCATTAGCAAATGGACAGCTATTTAAAAATCGCAGAATGCTCACATAGAAGGACCGTAGTTATCTCCGTATAATTCGCTTTTTAAAATGGCATTCTGCAATGCTGCGTCCAGTTTTTCTTTGTTCGTTCCATACTGATATCCCTTCTCATACTCGGCAATGGTTTTGTCATCCATAGGCAGATTAGGAAAATCGTAAAGACCCGACTGAATATTATCCAAGCTGAAATCTCTTCCTCCATACAGTTGATCCCTGTTCCATTCTCCCATATCAGCTTCTTTGAGGTTTGTTCCTGTGATATTGTGGGAGAATTATGTGTTTTCTTGTTTTCTTTTCACATATTTTTGTCAATTAGTTGCTATGAGATATTTGGGTAAACATTGTCTGAATAAGGGTAGAGCTAAGTGTCAAAATAACTGTTTTTAGAAAATTTTTGCCTTAAAACAATGTCAACAAAATTTAAAGAAGTGAATGAAACTATAAATTAACTGGACGATATGGAAACGATCTAAGTCCCTTCCTAAGAGATTAGAACATGATGTAACGACAATTTGCTATTAGTCAATATCAAACAGTAAAAGTATTATTTGCATTTATGCAACAGCGATTAAACTATTAAGTTCCCAAAGTTTTATTTTTTCAATGGAAATATATTTTATGAAAATTCGGTTCTTTTTGCTTTCGTGCAAACCACTAAAGTATATTTTGCAGAATATAAAACATGGACTAGATAGATACTTTTCGCCGCGATGCTTAACTCATTTCCAATTTTATATGGTGGAATATTTTGAGGATCCAACATCGAACAAGGAAAAATAATCTGTATATGTTTCCCATTATATATTTTTTTGTGCCTTGTTGAACTGATCTGGAGAAAATACTAATACTTTTAACTTTAACAGTTTTTTTGCATCCCTACTAAGAAAGTTTACACTTTATTTTTTACATTTTTTTTTCGGCATTTTAGATTTGCTATAAAAATGACTGGGCACTCATTGTAGATTAAAAGGCCGTATTTAAGCTCGAAGCCTCCGATAAAGGGATTTTATTGAGCGGTCAAAACTTTATTGAACCATTTCAGCCGTCCTTTCTACGGTCTAAATAAATTCCCAAAGCAACAAAAACTCCATCTCTAAAGGGCGCTTAAAACGTTTTGAAAAAATAACTTGCGGGATATAGAAATGTCAATCTGTAAACGACCATTGAATTATTGAAAAGTGTTCAAATCCCATAAGTTAGTGGCGATGATGGCGTACAGTAATCACAAATTTAGAAAAAAAAATTTCTGATATTTTTTCACTTAGATCACTTAGCTCAACCGCTCCTCAAATCAAGATTGAAATCCTTACTACTATTAGAGCGTTAATATCTCAAGGATGAGTTCTTTCTAATAAAATTTTCTTGATAGAGTTTTGTTACCTTACCCCGTTTTATAGCAGAAGTTGGTCTGTTGGTAAAGTAACTCATTTTTCCAATATTTTCCTCAGGCTCATTACTGTCAGATTGAGCCCTTTTTACTGAAAAATAATTTCAAATATAAACAGCAATGTTTTTACGCAGAGCAGAAATTTCGCTGCCGTTTAGAAGCATTGATTTAAAGAGAGCAAATTTCTCCTGAAAAGCACAATAAACTTTGCCGGTAAAATAAATATGAAGTAAAACGCAAAACGCAAAATATTGTTCTCGATTTTGGTAGATCTAACAAATCTATCAACAATCTAGCAAAATCAGTTGCTCAGAAATACATTATATGATGGCAAAATGAAAAATAATGTTCAGCTTCAACAAATTATAAAAAACACTTTCACACAAATTCCTTTCGCAATTACAATTAAGAATTTCAAAAGAATGTCCGTATATCCTTTATATTACACGGTTTGCAACAAACTGCCGCTCCTGTTATCTCCTATTTTATTATTATTATTTATTTTTATTACTAAGTCTCGATATATTGGGTTACAAATGTGCTTTATCGTAATTAATTAAATTATATTTCCACGCTAAAGAGGAGATTCACTTTAGCTTATCATGTATTTTATAAAGCTGGATGTTGCGAGTTTGATTGCGCTCATCACTGATCAAAATAAGCCTTGTTTTGTAAGAGTTAAAAAAATCCGATAAAACATAATTCCAGATGCTTCCAAATGCTTCCAATGTTTCCAAAACGGTTAGGAAATTTTTTTATTGCCTTAGCTATATTAATTCTTTAACTTATTAAGGCTTAACTTTCGACTTTAACTTAAGGCGCGCTTGATTCATTTGAGCGTTTTTGTCCCGATGCATCAAAATGGCTAGAACAACAAGATTTTGACTTTAAACTGGCTTTTGGGGCATAAAGTTTTCTATCTGCACAACTTCCATTTTGCACAAATTGTTTTCCCATTTGATCGTAAAACATGCGTTATAAAAATGGTCCCTAACACTAGTCATCATTTTCCAACTGTTTAAAAAATGCGAGTTTTAAAAGCTTATAATAATAATAAATAATATAAGAATATAAGTGATGTGCCTGAGATCGTCATACGTTTTCTCTAAAATGTAACTTTTAAGTTGGTTAATTCAAAAAAAACGTACTATTTCAGACGTCTCTGAGATAATGCTTTAAATTCTGTCTGGAATCGGTTACACGTGCGGTTACACGCGGATGAGACAGAACTGTTAAGCCTCAAAACAAAAACAAAACAAAATATTAGCTGGAAACTCAGTGCAAAAGCGTTTTCAGCATTTAAAAATTGAATCAATTATCAATTTCTTTAAAAGTAGTGTGACCGATTTAAGCTTGAAAGTTAGAAGACCGATTTAAGCTAGGGACTTTATTATAAAATCTTAATTTATTGCCTGATTTTGACCAACTTTTTACATTGTAGAACAGGAAGTATTACTCAAAACAGAGTGCCTCATTTCTGTTACAAAAGGCAATACTTTCTTGAAGATTTTTTAGAAGTCAAAATCGTCGAAAAGTATTAAAACCTTTTAGAATAACCATAATTTAACACTAAATAAAAGCGCCCTCAGAGAATAATATATGTTTATATTTTTATTAAATGATATAAAAATATTAATAATTCTGCCAAATAATTAAGGAAACCTTCATGTTCTAGATATATTCTGTCTTCTGAAGGAAGGTATCGAAAACAATAAGCGTTTATTTAAATGCACTGTTTTTTCTATGTTTGTGGATACCATTTTTCAGGGGATCTAGCATAATATTGGCATTTGCAACAGTTATTCTAACGCGTATTCCTTCTTTAACCGTGCGCATGCAACATATATAAATATACCAACCGGTCATTTTGATCGTTAAAGATATTTTCAAAAGAAACGTCTCACGTATGATACATTTTTTAAGGGATACACCAAAATTTTAAGAATTCACCAAAATCATTCAATTTTGGTATATGATATATTTTTTAAACGAAAACCGTGCCAGATAGGTTTATGAATTGAAAATAAAACGAAGAATATCTGTGGTGGTTGTACAATATATGTATACCTTAAAGGTATATTCAAAACAATATTCCTCATAATAAATGAATTAATAATTTATTACTATTTTTTAATTGCAAAATACATCTGCTTAACAAGTTCTGCTTCAAAATATAATTTGCACTCTCTTATTCACTGAAGATCTTTAAATTAGCAACCAACTACGCTGTTCTCCGAGCTGTTAATTGGTGCAAAGAACGAAAATGCTACGTTCTGTGAAGGGCTCTATAAAATAATTGATCTTTTACGATTGGGCTGACTATTGAAATTTAATTGAATTTCTAATTTCCGACACATCTAGTTGTACGAAAGCAATTAGTGATTCGGCAATAAATCACGCAACACTTATGAAACGAACATGTCGTTGAATTAAGCAAACTCTTTGATACCTAAATATAGTTTTGTTGTAATAATGTCAACATAATGAGGATCGTCGCAGGTAAACTGATAAGAAATTTCAATATTGTTTAGCAAATATTAGGTCGAATAGATGATAGGGGACTTTGCAAAATATTACCCGATGTATATTTGCCTTCTCCTCTACTTTATTTGTCCTATTGAAGTGTAATTAGTAAACTGTAATTGAGGGTTTCAGTGATTTCTTCTAATATAGTGAAATTATTTTGCCACTGAATTTCCGTTAGTGTTAAAATATCCATCAGTTGCGACTTGTTGACTTGAGTGACGAGTTGCGACGAATTTGAAGATGTGTTAAACTCAGGCATCTCCAAGACCAGTTTCAAATCAATTAGCTTTTATTAGGTGAATTTAGTCTGAAAATAACACTCCCGAAGCTTGCAGTTTATTTCGCTGATATATAGTATTTTACAGCTGCACGGACGAAAATATATTGGCGAAATAAAGTGCAGGTTTCAGGAGAGTTATTTTTAGACTAAACCCATGTGATGAGAGCTAATAGTCTCAAATCTGGTTCTGAGAGTGCTTGATATTAAGACTTCTCGAAATATGTACCTATTCATAAACTTTCGACAAGTCTGGGGGTGTCTAAAGTTAAATTATTTCTTGGACATTGTTTTTCTTCAAATGTTGATCAAGGCGGGTAAAAGGTCAATAAGCCTAGTTGTTATTCTGCATGTTCAAAAACGCCCCGTTTAAATCAGTTTTGTATAACAAAACTTGTAATTATAAATAATTAATCGTCTGTTCACAGGTAACTAATGCAAGATAAATATTCACCACTAAATCAGGCTTGTTCATAATTTATGAGAGTATGACTGCTATTTATTTTCTGATTTTCTTAGTCATTCTATTGTGAACAGCAGTAAATGCCTGAAGGGAAATCTGATTTCTTTATATCGTCGTTAATATATTTATCAACTTTTATTGAATATTGCTGTTCCCACAATGCAAATTTCCGTTTTAGGAATTTATTTTTAATGCCAAAGTTACCAACATCTACCAAGAAAATTAAAATCAGTTACCTTGAATTTGAAAATTTGGTCAACAGAAATTAAGCAATACTGCGCTTTCAAATAAATTAAATAGACTACATATTTTTGTCTTTCGGATCTGTCCTTTGGTGCCTGTCATTAACTAAAGCAACAGAAATAATCACGTTCAAATTTGGTAAATGCATAATTTAAGAGCGTATGATGGTTACTTGTTTATTTAATAAATTCAATCATATTTCTAGGAGCAGAAAGGAACAACTGAAGTAAAATATGATTTCTTAGTTTTTTTTTTTTAATTTTAATTTTAATAATGTTCATATTTTATTTCTATAACAAAAATATGTAGTGTTTTAAGGTTTTTAAAATCTTACTATTCTAAGCCCCTCATAATGCATTTCGATAACTTATTTTCTATACAAAATTTAAAGAAGTATCTTGGGTAGAGAAAAATTAAATAGTTTTTAGTTTTAAAATAATATAGACAGTACATTTTTCATTTCCGCTTTGGTCAAGTTACTGTAATAAATCACTGTTCTTCAACATTATAGTTTTATATTGAAAGAATTTAAGTTATTTTGTATACGTTTATGTATGTAAATCAAACTAATACATTATTTCGAGTCTTAGATAGAAACATATTTACAAGTTCGCTCAGAAACTCTTTAAACTAAACAGAAGTATCAAGCGAATACCATTTTCTGGAACTTTTTAATCTTATCTTTTACTTTGGTGAATATTTTTTCTATTATTTATTATTTACTATTATCAAAAGATTGCTGAATGCCTTTCATTTATTATTTTTCTCTAAAACAACGGATACAGTGAATGCTACCAGAAAATATCGGTAACACTAATGAAACCTTAGTTTTTTCAAAGTTCGTAAAAGCTCAAGTTTTCCAGCGCAATCAGTTTCTACGTCTCAGCCCTCACTGTTCTAAATTACTATCTGCAAAACTTTTCACTGCAGTTAAAGCTCTTAAATTGCAGTTTTAACAAAGCAATAATTAACATCGATTTATTATAAGTTGCGTATAGTTTAATGCTAAATGAATGATCAATGAGCAAATGAAAGTCGTCAATCACAAATTTTTAATCAAACAAAGTTGTTCTTACAAAACGTAATAAAGAAAATAATGGTTCAATATTTAAAACCTTCTGTCTCACAGCATTTACTATATTAAAGTCAATATGGAATATACAGAATGAGTTACAACTAATGGTGCGTACGGTAAAATAGTAAAAAATGTATCAAAAGGAAATACTTGTTACTTTGATTTTATAGGCGATTCAGGTTTTGTAATAAAGCTGATTTTATTAATATAGTTTTGGTTCTAAAATAGAACATTTTTAATGCTGAATCTTTCAATTCTTCTAAAATCGTATCAAGATTAATGAATGAATATTTGCTCCAGGAAAAATTTCACTATTTTATACTAAGAGAAAGTAGATGAACGTGAACAAGGATTATTAGTTTAGTATTAATATATATAAGAATAATCCGGAAAGAAATTAATAAGACAACTTAGATAGTAAACGGCTGCCTGGCAAATTATTAAATGTTGGCATGCCTAGAATTCCTGCAGTATTTCGATTTAACGGGCAAAAATAATAATAATAATTTTTTATTAACATTAGTCAACACAAATTAAGTAATACTGCGCTTTCAAATAAATGAATTAGCCAATATATTTTTATCTTTTCAATCTGTCTATTGGTGCCTGCCATTAACTAAAACAAAAGAAATAATCACGTTCAAATTTGGTACTTTCATAATTTAAGAGCCTATGATGGTTACATTAATTATTATAGACATAGTTACATTTGCCATCATACGCTCTTAAATTATGAAAGTTTTTTTCTAGTTCATGATAATTTTTTCTGAGCTTCAAAAAATTAATTATGGGGTTTCAAACCAATCGTCTACTGGTGAAATGTATTATTTTTATATGCCCCTTCAAGGATATTTTAATCTGATCCAGATCGCTGCAAGTTTAGAGTAAATAAAACTAACAAAAAAAACAGCAGTTGCTGGTCATTCAATCAATAAACTCAATACTTCTATAATCGAATAAAGCTTCTTATTCACCCGGACCTAACGAACGAGAATTTACTGTGCTCTTACCAGTTGCTCGTAAAAAAATCTTGATAAGCAACAATATGTCCATCTACGTCACGTCCAACAGATCAATTCCGTTATACCAGAATATAAATGCAAACATTTTGTGACACGCCCAAACGATTGCCATTTCGCTTCCCATCTGTTGAATCTAGTTTAATGACGCAAAAAACTACCCTACGTACGAAGCCGCCCCAAAGCAATCCACTTCATTCACGATTATGCATAAAAACTTGTTGCTTCTAATTGGATGGCATCGCATATTGCGTTCATATTTTGGGAAATTGCGGAATAAAATAAAGAAAGTCTAGAAACAGCTTACCCTTGTTGCTTTTCATCTCGCTGTTTTTGATCTCCTGGACCAATGACGATGGCAAGGCCAAAGAAACGGCTACCAAGTAGGCGCCCAATAGGGAAGAAAATGCCCATTTAGCCATGCTTTCGGTGCGGGTAGCTACAAGTGTGGAAAACAACTGGAAATCTGGAAAGCAGGTTGGCGATTTTCATCTGTTAGGTTGCCTCTACTACGCACTCGCGGGATTTGCGACGTGTTGCAGACCAGCATTTTATTCAATTTTCCTTCGTAATTATTTAAGTTTTTACTCCTTTCCATGCACGCGGATTAAAGGTCAGAAGTCAACTTGCCCATAGGGTTTCAGAGCAATAAATATTACAAAATTTTATACTTTTTCCTGGCTTTGGTTCAAAAGTAAAATTGTTAATGGAGTTTTCTCTTTCAAACAAATTAGTACACCCCAAAGGCCAATACTCTGAATGTATAGTTAATGGCCAAATAGTGGACATTGCATTAACTGGTAATTTGTATTTCGAGAAATTGGATTTAAATTAAATATTTTACCAATAAGTACTCGATTTTCAGTCATAGTTGAATATTTAATTTGATAGCAAGCTGATTAATACTCGAATTCGCCGAACAAATATTTTTCAGGCTTAAAAGAGTTTAGAACAGTTTTCAGAACATGAACCAAAAACACTGACCAACAAGTTTTAGGAAAATTAAATTTAAAAGCACATAATCAATTGCTGAAAAATACACTAATATACATAATGTCTTCAATACTCTACAAACAGAATAGGACTAGGATACTTGCAATAAAATTAAATAATTTTTAAGACCCTGTTAACTGAGCCCGCAAATTCCTAGTTTCTTATATATCGGCTGTTAAAGGTTAAATTTTTTGGGTGGGCTTTTAAGCAAATGTTTCAGACAAATATAAAAAGAAGCATACAGTTTTTGGTACGGAGGTTTCTAAGCGTAATGAATGTTGATTGTAACAAAAAGCTTTTCAAAACTTATTCGACCAACCATTTACGGAAACTGAGCTCTAACAAAATCGTATTGAAGAAGCCATAAAATTTGGGTTGTTAAGTGAAAAAACTTCAGTTTTTGAAACGGTGATTTGCAATTGATTTTTAAACCCGAGTAAATAAAATACCCTTTAATCGAAGGTTAAGTAATTGCGAATTATATTTTGTTTGAGGTGTCGTATTTTCAGAAGAAAATAAGTTAAACGTATTATACACTAATTTCCAAACGTCCTGTACAGTTTTTTTCAAACACCCTGTACATCCTGCACAGTAAAAATATGAGTAGGAGGCTTTTCCAAACGTATTTCTGACCTATTAGTCTTCGTGATTTTGATTTATTTTGAGTGCTAATGGAGTGTACAAAAATTATGGCAAATTAATTTAAAATTAAGTTTAAAAAACTTTGACCAAATGTCAGTTAATGAGTTTGTTGTGCACATTGTTGCGTTTATAAATAATTACCTAAGCTTAATACAAAACAGTTTTAATTAATAGCAAGTCACTTATTACAGTTCTTAATATGAGCAAATTCTCATTGGAAAAAACTAATTTTTAGATCTACGTTTCTTTGCTTAAAGATGTTGCATATTCATGTTATTTTATAAATAGGCGATCACCATGGTGAATGAACTTCTTCCATGGCGGAAGGTAGAGTTCTTTAAGTAATTTGATCGATTTTGGAAAATCTAGAACATTTTTAATTAATGGCAATTTACAAAAAGGCGTTCAATAATATGCTGCCAAGAAATGCAACCCGAGCATTCCGAAATTAATCTACTAAAAGAAAATCATTCTTTAGAAATTTTCGTTCATTCGTACGGTTGCTTGTTAGATGGCGATATGATTTCTTTTGACTTGGACAAGAAAGTTGTTACATTTATGTTTTTCTCATGATTCTAAAGTCGAATTATACATGTATATAAGAAGCTTGACCAGAAATTTACACTCGGATAATATTTAATAACTACATAAAAAAACACGAAACAATTGATCAAACATTCTGAATTCAAAAATTTCAGAAAATTTTAAAAAGTTGGTTTACAGATAGATAATTGCACGCAAGTGTTGGTACATTTTGAGATTCTAAAAGAACTGAAAGTGACAAAGAGAGTCACTTGAAATTTAGTAAACTATTTTTTCGGTAAACTATTTTTAAATAGTGATGGTTTTATTTAATATTTACTTTACTTTCATTTTAATTTCTGTTTCGTTATTTTCCACTCAATTATTTCGTATTATGCCAAGAATATACATATTTGAAATTATTAAAAAAGTATAAAAAATATATAAATAGTCAAAATAGGAATACAAAGCACATTTAACACATTACATTATAGATCATTCTTTTCCCTCTTTCGGACCGAAAGATTTGTTTGGCTTATCTAGATTAGGTTTGTTTGCTACTTCTAATCAATTTGTTGATTCAAATGCATTATTTAGCTTCATTTACGCATCTCAGTACTTGTTTATTCGTTTTATTCCACAGTAAGTGAAATGAGGCGTTCATAATTCTTTTAAATTTCTGCAGTCAATCTTTAGACTAGATTTACTTATTAAATTCGTTTTTATCCATTTACTTAATCTGCTGGAAATATGAATAAATCCATTAATTCACTTAGGATTTGGGAGGCTGAAATGGTTAAAACACTCATTTCTTGCAATTTTTATTTAATTATTATTAACAAATTAACTTTTTGAATAAATATGAATATTTTTCTTGTAATTTTACAATCAATTTGCAATTTTTCTTGCAATTTCCACTTGTTATATAAATTATTTACTTTTTAAGCATTTGGTAACTAAATTAAGTATTCTGCTTTCGGTTTCAGCTGTTGTGGATACCTATTAACTATGTTTAAAGAATTTAATCGAATTTTTCGCTCCTATACTTTATATATGCGAAATAAAGTCGTTTCAGGAGTGTTATTGTCAGGCCAACGCAGCCGATGCGAGCACAAAGGGTCGAGACCGGTCTTGGGGGTGTCTGAGATTAGCACAACACGAAATCTGTGCCTAAATATAACAAAAAGTTTCGCACTTTTGATGCTTCCAAAAGTTTCATTCTTCTTCAACTCTTCTGATTGCCACCGTTTTATTGTAACTATGCATTTGGTAATAACATCTTTAAGTTTCTATTATTTATTGAAAAATGAACCATCGCTTTTTGCTACTTACTTGGGATGATTAGGTATAAAACCATGAAATTATTTAGTTTATTATAAACGTTTGTATGCTTAATACGCCTATATTTACTTATCAAATCTTTTGAAAGTGTTCAACATTTGCAGACCAAATCGCACATGATTCTTCTAATTGATTTAATCTTATTTGAAAGAAATACTTCAAAAATGCAGTACTTAAGTAATAGATCGAAGGAAGTTTATTGTTATTTCTTTATTAAAAAGAGCAACGAGGCGAGATTCCAAATTACTTAATCTTTTACAAACTTGTTTTTTTTGTAAACTATGATTACAAAGCTCTTCCACAAATTACTCTCTCTCGCCGCAAATTACCTGTTTAAAATACTACAGAATTACATGAGCATTACACTGAAGGAAGTTACATTCAATCGTTTAATGTGGTAAGACATTAAACTTTAACGTTATTGTTTTGCTTGAACTTAGTTACAGGCAACAAGTTGAATTGGACTAATTATTGTTATCCGAAGAAGTTGTAGGTCTACTATTTTTTTTTGGTTAAAAGATGTTGACCCATCCACGGAGTTACTTTCAATGTGGATGTTTTGCGGTTATCAATTGAAGCTATTTATCTCTGGACAATATGTTTGTAAGATTGTTAATCACCGGAACATCACGATCCCCAGTGTCTATGTTTCCAATTAAGTTATTTATCCTTGTGCTTAGGTTCGATAACTAAGATATGATCGAAAAACTCAGCTTCAATTGTGATTATTTCACTCAATATTTGTAATCTAATGTGGAAAATACTCGTGAGCTTATGTGTATGCAGTTCCAAAAAATTAAGCAAAGTTGCAGTGGTATGTTTGTGTAGTTTCAATATCCCGCCTCGTTTCCAAAAACATTTTTTTTTAATTCGGATAAAATCGTGAAGCACCTGTGAATTCCGACGGCCATAAACGGCATCGAACGAGTGCAATTCTCACGGCCATAACGATGCGACCGACCACGTCTAAAACCACTCCTGCTGCAGATTCGTACGTTCTTGAGGCCACCGCGATCGCTTACAGCATTTAACATCTGGCGCCAACCGCTTATTTGGTCAGACGGGCATTCATTGCCGACGTTCAGCTAAAGCAGCCGACAATCGCTTTTTGCTCTTTGCAGGATTTATACAAGGCAGCTAAAACGGCCAAAATACTCCAGTTAGAATTTCTGATCCTCACGAATACGATTGATTCAGGAAATTCGAATAAACATATCAATTTGCTGTAAATATGTGTCGAATAAGAATGCGAGAACTTGTGTACATTTTCATAGTAGATTGTTATACAGGGTGATTCAAAATTGACGTCATTTGTGTTTGGAGAGTACAAACAAAAGGAAAAAAAAATGTTCATATCAAAAACTGATATATTTGCCAAAAACTAGATCAGAAGAACGGCAACAATGTTTGTCAAGGTAATATTCCTCACTAACATTACATAGGTAAATTGTGTTACTTCAAATATCAAAAGCTGAAGTAATCAGATTTACATTTACAAACTTCTTGTTGGGTATTTTGCCTCAAAAATGTTTGTTGTTTCGAAAGACAGAATTTCCTCACGTCTTCTATTACAGATTGATAAATAGTACTCCTATTTCGCAATAAGAACGAATTATTTATCAAAAAGTAATCAAGAACTATCACCTAGAGGGTATCCTGCGACACACTTAGGCTCAAGCTGTAAGAGAAAATTCCAATTAGAAAAGAAATTAATTTGAAAAATTACCTTGACGTTTCGATAGCTATTTTCTGCTATTGTTATCAAAAGAACCTAAATGAACCTAAAAAAGAGTATGTTAATAAATTGTGTAACAATAGTAGGATAATACAGTATATGAAAATTCGCTCTGATAATTCGTCT